CAAGCTTGATGAGCGTTTCCTGCAGCACAGATCGCAACCTCAGCGCCGGGGTTTGCCGTTTTTCCCCGATCTCCACAAAGAGATTTCGAGATCGTGGGATAAACCGCACTCATCCCGTGTCTCCAATCCCAGTATGGTGGATTACAGCAATGTTATGGGGGCACGGGATATGGGTTATGGGAAGATGCCTAAGGTGGAAGAGGCTTTAGCGGGTTATCTTTCTCCTGAGTCGGCATCTTCCCTAAAAACCCCGGCGTTGCCTAGTAAGCCCTGCAGAGATACATCTGCATTAATAGGCAGGGCTTACATGGCGGCAGGTCGGGCTGGTTCATGTCTGCACTCTATGGCACTCTTGCAGGCATACCAGGCCGACCTCCTGAAAGATTTGGATGAGGGGGAGGGGCCAACTCCTGAAGATATTGCGGAGTTAAGGAGAGCCACAGATCTGTCTCTTCGGGCCACAAAAGAGACGGCCCGCGCTATTGGCCGCTCTATGGCAGCTATGGTGGCCACGGAGAGACATCTGTGGCTGAATTTATCTGGCATGAAAGAGAAGGATAGATCCTTTCTGCTGGATGCGCCGCTTTCGCCTTCTGGCCTGTTCGGCGACGCCGTTACATCGGTCGTCGACAGGTTTCAGGAGGCGAAGAAACAATCTGCGGCGTTCCAGCAGTACCTCCCCCGTAAGGCGAAATCCAAATCGAGTAGGGTGGGGCCAAAAGATCAGCCCCAGCCATCAGCCGGCTCCTCACACCGAGCAGAGCAGAGAGAGAGCGTTTCCTCTAGAGCCCCTCCTCCTGGAGCTTGGCAACAGAGGAAACACTCTCAAAAGTCGAAGTCCTCCAGCCAGAAGGGCGACCTGAGGGACGTCATTCAGGCTAGGAGGGCTTCGGGGAAGAGGTCCTAACCGAAGTGGTAGGACCTCTGAGGGCTGTCCCCTCCGCTGTAGGGCAACCGAGGTTGTTCTCACAGCGGAGCCCTCTAGGAAACGATGTATGTTGCCCGCCGTCCACGACGCTTCGGGCCGCATCTCTTTCCAGCGAAAATATTTTAATAAAGAAAAAGCATCAATTATGGTCACAAAAGCCGGATCGACTACACCCTGCCGGTATTCCGCTTCAGGGAGTCGAGAAAGATGCTCGAAAAACACCAGAGGCCAGTCTCGAGAGGCTGGTACCCCTAGTAGATTTTGTAGAGGCATGGTATCATCTTCCCAACATATCTGCATGGGTCCTGCATATAATAAAATCAGGGTACAGACTGCAGTTCGCGCGCTGCCCCCCCAGGTTTTCAGGGGTAGTGCAGACTACAGTGGTTCCAGAGCAGGCTCAGGTGATGGAACAGGAGGTACAGACTCTGCTGCTAAAGGAAGCCATAGAACGTGTTCTTCCTTTGGACAGGGAGTCCGGGTTTTACAGCCGGTACTTTATAGTTCCAAAGAAGGATGGGGGGTTAAGGCCAATTTTAGATCTCAGGGTTTTGAACCGGTCTCTGAGGAGGTTCAGGTTCAAAATGCTAACCATTCCTGCAATCGTGAGTCAGATCAGGTCCGAGGACTGGTTTGTCACGATAGATCTAAAAGACGCTTATTTTCACATCTCCATCCTTCCATGTCACAGGAGATACCTGAGGTTCGCTTTCGGGGGCGAAGCTTACCAATATCGGGTTCTTCCGTTCGGCCTAGCTCTCTCTCCCCGCACATTTACCAAATGTATGGATGTAGCCCTTGCTCCACTGAGACTTCAAGGCATTCGTATATTGAATTATCTCGACGACTGGCTCATTCTGGCTCAGTCTCGGGAGATGGCAGTTCGGCATCGAGATGTCGTCCTTGGCCACATTCAGAAATTGGGGTTGAGACTCAATACAAAGAAAAGTGTGCTAGAACCATCCCAGTGCACGATGTTTTTGGGAGTCGTGTGGAACTCGATTACGATGCAGGCACGAATGTCTCCCGCACGTATCGAGTCAATTCTGGGGATGGTATCCAGGTTGAAGCTAGGCCAAGCCATCACTGTAAAGCAATTTCAAAGAATGCTGGGCCTCATGGCAGCGGCATCCAACATCATTCCTTTGGGCCTTCTACATATGAGGCCCCTTCAGTGGTGGTTAAAAACCAAGGGGTTTTCTCCCAAGGGAAATCCGTTTCGTATGATCAGAGTAACGCGCAGATGCCTTCGTTCTCTACAAATATGGAAGAAACCTTGGTTTCTGTCCCAAGGGCCAGTGTTGGGAGTGTCTTGTCGCCGGAAAACCGTTTCGACAGACGCCTCCCTCACTGGCTGGGGCGCGGTCATGGACGGCCGCTTTGCCAGGGGTCTGTGGCAGGACCATCATCATTCTTGGCATATAAATTGCCTGGAGATGATGGCTGTGTTCAGGGCTCTGAGGAGCTTCCTCCCAGACATCAAAGGTCACCATGTATTAGTACGATCAGACAATACGTCAGTGGTAGCCTATCTGAACCGACAAGGGGGACTCAGATCGCGCCCTCTGTGCAGACTGGCGCATCAGATTATTCTTTGGTCCCAGGGGAAAATACTGTCTATCAGAGCAATGTATATTCCGGGGGTTCAGAATCAGGGAGCAGACATCCTGTCGAGGCAGGGGCTGAGGCCCGGGGAATGGAGACTTCACCCAGAGGTGGTGAAGTTAATATGGGAGAGGTTTGGACCGATGGAAGTGGACCTGTTTGCGTCTCGAGAGACGTCCCACTGTCCACTTTGGTTCTCCCTCTCACATCCAGCCCCACTGGGGTTGGATGCCATGGTACAGGCCTGGCCGAGGCTTCGCCTGTACGCTTTTCCCCCGATCGCTCTGCTTCCGGGAGTCCTGGAGAGGGTCCGTCAGGAGGGCATCAGTTTACTTCTGGTTGCCCCAAGGTGGCCGACCCGAGTATGGTTTTCAGACATAATATCACTCCTGATAGCTCCGCCATGGCAGATTCCTCTGAGGAGGGATCTGTTGTCTCAAGCGGAGGGCACAGTCTTCCACCCTCACCCAGAGCTGTGGAAGCTGTGGGTCTGGCCTCTGAGGGGGTTCAGTACCTAGATGCTGGTCTATCAGCCGGAGTGGTTGAAACCATACTTAGTTCTAGGGCTCCATCTACTAGGAGATTATATGGCCTCAAGTGGAATGTTTTTTCCGCTTGGTGTAGAGAACAGGAGTTAGATCCAGTTAACTGCCCAGTGGCTTCAGTTCTGGAGTTTCTTCAAAATCGTTTCTCTGCGGGTCTCTCCCCTTCCACACTTAAGGTGTACGTGGCTGCCATTGCGGCTTTCCATGCACCTTTGAGTGAGGGGCCTCTGGGGAGGCACCAGTTGGTCATTCGGTTTCTCCGTGGTACTCGGAGGATGAGACCGACAACCAGGTCCAGGGTTCCTACCTGGGACCTGGCAATAGTTCTTGAAGGGTTATCCCTGGCCCCCTTCGAACCTTTGCAGTCGGCTTCGCCTAAGGACTTGACGCTAAAAGTGGTATTTCTCTTGGCTATTACCTCACTTAAGAGGGTGGGAGATCTCCAAGCCCTGGCAGTGACACCAGCTTGCTTGGAGTTTGCCCCTGGCAGAGTAAAAGCTTTTTTGCACCCGAGTCCGGGCTATGTGCCTAAAGTTCCATCTAGTACGGCTCGGTCTACAGTCCTTCAGGCATTCCATCCTCCACCTCATGTGTCGGCAGAAGAAGAGAAGCTTCATTTGCTCTGCCCCGTCAGAGCTTTGAGCGTGTACCTTGAGAGGTCCTCTTCTTGGAGAAGGTCGGACCAATTATTAGTGTGTTTTGGGTCACCTAAGAAGGGGCTCCCAGCATCCAAGCAGACTATTAGTAATTGGATTGTTCAAGCTATTACTGAGGCTTACAAGGTGCGCAACTTGCCTTCACCTTTAGCCGTGAGGGCTCATTCAACTAGAGGCATGGCTTCCTCTAGGGCCCTTCTTTCGGGAGTACCCCTACAGGAGATCTGTGAGGCAGCCGGTTGGGCTACTCCACATACTTTTATTAGGTTCTACAGTCTCCACCTTCCTAGTACGCCTGGTGCACACGTGCTTAGTCCTCGCTGAGTGCCTAGACAGTTTCACTCCGGGACAGGCCTATTCGGTGCGTGGCCTAGTGGGCACTCGTTCCCCAAAGAGTCGATTCTCGACGCAGTGTTAAGTTCCCTCGAAAGGGAACGTCTCGGGTTATGACTATAACCCTTGTTCCCTGAGAAGGGAACGAGACACTGCGTCGTTCTGCCACGCCCCTTAAGGCCTGAGAGCGGCTTGCTTCATCGCTAGGCTAGTTTGTGTTTGTTCCGGCGTAGCTTTTATGCATCCGGTTATGCCGTCACATGTTACGTCATGACGCAACACCAATCAGGATTGGAATAGTTTCATTCATACTTCAGAGGCGCACGCTAAGGGAGCGTCCCCAAAGAGTCGATTCTCGACGCAGTGTCTCGTTCCCTTCTCAGGGAACAAGGGTTATAGTCATAACCCGAGACGGCTTCAGAGTTCCCGTTTCCACCACGGTCATTTATATTCTTTAACAAAGTGTGAAAGTCTCAAGTTAACCATAACTTGATTTACTCATAAATCACAAACCGCTAATTTCTGAGGAACTTTGCTTTTCTGATTGGCCTCCAAATTAATGTCATGAGTGATTGGGCTAAAATAGTAAATTCACACAAATATGAGAAATGTCTGACTATCAAAACACTATCCTTTTGCAAGCACTTGACAAACTATTTTCCTTCACGATTTGAAGCATTTCCTGTTTAAACAGCAACAAATTAGTTTGTCGCTTTTATAAAATGCATGAAAGCAATAAAGACACTTTAGATTAATTTGTGGAGGATTTCTTGCCATCACCTTCACAGAAATGTTTCCAACTTTTAGCAGTATACAAGAGTTTAGATTTCCTGCACGGACTAGAAGCCGGCGTTTTGATTTCATCAGTCCTTTTGCTCATGAAAAACCATTATCAAATGACACCAGCAATAAAAAAAAAAAGGGCACATGCCATATTTTCAGTAGTTTTATTGAAAAATGCCTCCTCTGTTTCAGAAATAAATAAGAAAATAAGGCTGTGGAATTCACAATGTGCAGTTGCAAACATGAAGCAGCAATACTATATCTATAGTCTTGCACGCAAATGCCAAAACTGCATTTGATATTGATAAAACAACAATTACAACAACTATATTCTGGATTAAAAAAGGAAAACAAACAACTACAAATGAAAATGAAAAAAAAAAAAACATAATATACAGCACAGACATGCAATTCCACCTTTGGTAAAATCAGCTGTGAGGTTCAATCAAACATTCATCCAATTTGATCAATATCTGATTTATAATATTGTGATGAAGGGCATGTTTTACTGCAGATGTTAACAAAAAAGACAATCTCTCATGTGAACGCAGACAGAAATGGATAACTAATGTGTATTCATAAGAGACATACATGATGATTGGTGAATATGCAGATAGCTGAAAGAGGCGATGATCTTTGGAAACCCTTCAATGTTAATAAATTATCAAACACCTTTCAACTGCACGCTGCGATGTGTGACACATTCAATGCGATTTTACAAGCGATGGAGTACAAGTGGAAGAGAAAGAAGCTATGAGGTTACATTAGGAGATTCATGCGTCTGATCTGCTGAATTCACACAAGGTTCGAAGGGTTAAATTGTCTGTACAGGCCGTCGGAACGTCAACAAACAAATAACATGAGCCAGTCAACTTCCCCTTCTTTTACCACGCTTTCCTTTCAGATCCCGTCTCTGGCAATGACCTCTTGCGTCGTTGGTTTGGTGAAATCTCAAAGTCTTCTTCTAGGATTGGGTCTATGCGCTCGGCATCAGGTGGAAACTGTTCTGCTTGGAGATACGGCAGTGGCCAATTGAGTCACTCAAGCAAAATACCATTGTTACCTTCCTCAATGTGGCTACGGCAAGTGCAAAGGGTTAGAGACGGCTTGTTGGGGTCAGTGCTTTATATATGTACTTGACACACAGTGGGGTCCAGAAGTCAGTGGGGTCCAAATTACATCAGCATAACAATTTCATAATCACTTGATCTTGTTCTCCAGCACGATTGATAAGGTTCAAAATGATCAACCTCATTAACTAGTTTAAAATCTTCTTCATTTTACATCACAAAAATCGTCCCTGTAGCTCACACCAAAGGTCACGGGTTTGATTCCCAGGCGATACAAATGATGCCAACATAAATAACTTGATTATAATCTAAGCAGCCTTGGATAAAGGTGTCTGCCAAATACATAACACTTGAGGAAGAATCAAATTAGTATAGATTTAAATGAAACATTTAAATAAAAATAAAAAAACGTTTTCAATGAGGTCTCAGGAGCTGTTTACACGACACTGTTTTCAACTAAAAACGGGTTTGGCCGTTCATTTACATGACAGCTGCGTTTTGGGGGCCTGAAAATGCAAACTTTTAAAAATATGTTTCAAAGTGCAAGTTTTTGAACACATTGTGTAAACTACAAAAACGTGAAAACAGTGATATTACGTGTTCAGGCGCGTAGTGTTCCTTTACAAGGTAACATTGCCAACTACTGGCCTGGCATGCATAATACAAACTGGTTTTCTCTGATCCGTGTGAACGATTTGACAATGTTGTCACCTGTACGCCAAAAACATTTCCGTTTTTAGTACATCGTTGTCATGTAAACATACCCTCAGACTTTTGGACACCACTGCTTGTCTGTGTGTGTCAGTATACACACACACACACACTCTCATACATAGACACTGTAAATGATGACTATCAATACAAATGGTTGCTAATATGGGCAAGTTGGCCTGCCAAGCAAAAATATCAACAAGAATTCAACCACACGCCCATTTAGATGTTCATCTAAACCCTTACTTACAGCCAATTGAAAGAGACATGATCTTGCCAAAACAGAAACTAACCATGAGGAAATGAAACTGGCAAGATAAATGTGTACATACTAAAAGAAAAAAGAAACATCCAGGGTCGATTAACAAAAAGAGACGTGCTTCAAACTGGCCCTGAGCAAAAGTCTGTGAGATCACTTAAGGCAACCAGTAAAATAAGAGGCACTGGTGTCAGCATTCAGCAAGCAGTTGAATTCAAGCTCACTACGAGGGTTAAAAACTATTGCGTTTTAGTGGACTGGGATTCATTTACTAGGCACGATTAGTTTATTTACAGATAAACGAAAAACTCTTGGAGTTAACATGCTAAATGACAGTTGTTTTGGCCACAGATCCACCTGGTTAGTATTTGTTGTGGTTGCTGGTGTGTTTTTGCGTGTTTTGGTCATGCGTCTCCAGCCGACTGCAGCTTGTTTTCGGTTGTTTTGGCTGCCGTCACTGATGCCCGTGGCTGTGAGTTGTTGTTAGTACCCATCCGCAGATCGTAATCTCTGTTTGTTGCTTTTATTGTTTGTTTGTGTGCTTTCATTCATTCAATAGTGTTCGCTTAATCATCTCCGTGGTGGTTATCCGCACAGAGCCCAATAACATGTGATTTTCTCAGGATTTCAAAGTGTAAGCAGCACAGGTGGTTTAGAAAGTTTATGAACCTGGAACAGGTCAAAGAGGGTGTTAGAATTCTTCGCTAGACAACTCACAAACTGAAAATCAGCTTCTGATACTGTGATACTAAGTGAGGGTGAAGATCCGGAGCACATTTCATCCCAAAATCGAAAGACATTTTACATAAAGAAAATGAAGCCAATTAAAGGACAATTCTGTCATTATTTATTGTCATGTTGTTCTTTTGTGTTGAAAGACTATGTTAAGAAAACAACAATATAAATGCTGACAAAAAGGCCCAAAAATATCAAATGACCTGGGCACTTTATTTCAAATCTTCTAAAGTATCTTCTAAAGTCATATGAGAGCTTTGTGAGAAGAAAAGAGTTCTCAAGTTCAATTCACAGATTTGATTGGTTTGTAACAACTGTCTTGAGAAATTCTCAGTGCATAACAAGTCAAATTTTGGTCTGTTTCTCACATAAAAGTAGCATAAGTCTTTTGAAGACTTGGAACTCTTCTTCTTATTTTTTTTATTATTCTTTGCTTTTCCCGAAGAGAGAATGATTTTTTTGCGTTACGGTACCGTTCAAAAGTTTGGGGTCAGTGAATGAATACTTTTATTCAGCAAGAACGCATTAAAAGTGACAGTAAAGGCTTTTTTTTTTTTTTTTAAATCAGCGTATTATAATAATTTCTGAAGGATCATGTGACACTGAAGACTGGAGTAATGATGCTGAAAATACAGCTTTGATCACAGGAATAAATTATATTTTAATATATATTCTAATAGACAATATAAAAAAAATCTACCGAGCTCAAACTTAATGCTTGGTAGCGTTTAAGTCAAAATAAAGTCACAATGCAAAAAAATCCTAAAGGTTAAAAAAAAGCTTTGTTTTCTTTATCCAAAATGTATTCGTTTTTTTTCTTCTTTTAATTTTGGGGTGAAATAGGACAGGTTTGGCAAGTTTCACCCATGATAATCTGCATTATTCAGCTGAGCATCATCCACTGCGTTACACTACACATGCCATTAATGTTATTTCTACTGTCATGCAACAGGCAGAGCTAGAACATGAGGGACGTACCTCTGTAACCCTGTCCGTTATATTGCATACCGACACACTGAGAGGAGTCACAGTAGCCAGGCGGGCCGGGCGGACCACGTACACCGGCGACACCGTTGCGACCGGGCGGACCACGAATGCCTGGAGAACCGCTTGAACCCGGAGGGCCGGTTCTGGACTCACCTGGTGAGCCTAAAGAAATCAGAAAACACATTGCCTCAGAAACAACATGTAACACTTTACTTGAAGCCTTTACGTACAGTATGATGCATTATAAAGGTATTCATAATGTGCATAGCAATGCATTGCATTTTTCATAAATAATTGTAACCAAAGTTAAAATGTGTTTCAATGCATTATACTTTCTAAAGGCACAACAATGAATAAATAAGTACTATAATACATTATAACTGTGGTTACAATTATTTATTAAATTATAGAATGCATTATAAAGTGCATAATCAGTGCATTAAAATAGTTTTATAATGCATTATATATAAAGGTGTCAAGTGAAGTGTTACCAAGCGACCTTTAAATGTGAAATACAGTTTCTGTGATTCTGAGTTATGCCTGCTCATTTTTTAAGCGTTGCATCATATAACACATAACACATTCAACTGCACTGTCTAAAAATAAAAGTGGTGGACATGAGATAAAATATAGCATAATCTCTTTCTAAGAAAAAGGAAGAAAACAGGCCAGTAAATCAGAGATATTTCAAGGTTTTTCATGACTGTGAGCTAAGCTAGGTAAACGAGTTTCAGCGTATAAATGTGCGCATGAAACATACCAGGTGGTCCGGAGGCTCCTCTCTGTCCTCTCTCTCCGAGGCCTGGACTTCCTCTGTCTCCTTTCTCTCCAGCTGGTCCTAATGTAAATGCACACAAACAGAGAAATATAAGCCCAAACACAGACATACATGCATATCTGCATCGCAACACACTGCTAAACATGCTGTAAACACACAGGCCTGACATAACACTGGGTGCAGAAAATCAGTTTCAAATCAGGTACTTGCACTCTTAAAAAGAAAGGCTCCAAAAATTATAATTTTTTTAGCAGCTATGACATAGAAGAATCATTTTTGGATCCCCAAAGAATTTTTCAGGGAACAGTTCTTAACATAAATTTCCCTCTAGGGCCATTATCCTGGTTGCATTCACACCTCCAATAGTAACTCTGCAGTGATATAAACCAGCCGACAGCGACGCCATTTATGTGCGCCATTCAACAACATCAACAACTGGAGGATGGAGGACGCCGTGATCGGAGCTGTGTTTTTGCAGTGTGTTGTGGGTTTCGTGATAATGGAGATGGAATTTGTACTTTTTGGAATTTGGCTTTTTGAGAGACTAAATCTCCTATATAAACTTGTGCTACACATCATCGAGGCTGAGAAAAGAACAACGTCGCAGACAGACGCGTTAACATCAGCTTTCTCTACGTTACTGTCTTATCGCTGTTTTCCATATTTGTGGAATAAGAATATGTAAACTGTGTGTTTACACAGCTTTTCAAAAATGGCGGGTGCCAGTGTTTTGTGTGGCATGTGTTCGGCTAATCAACTTGTAGTTCCTGTTGTGCTGGGTTAGACCCTACTCTGAAGATGAAGCTAATTTAGTTCCCAAAAATGTGTTCCTATAATCAAAATCGTTCCCAGTTCCAGCTCTGCAAACATGCCATTAAAGTGGGTACTTCCACCAATAGTTATAAGAACTATGAAAACGACCTCCCTTTAGTGTGAACATTTTAATAATCCAAAGAACCTTCTTCCACCATTAAGATGTAATGGAAAAGTTCCTTGGATTTGTCATGGAACCATCAACGACAGTTAAGAACCTTTATTTTTAAGAGTGTATAAGGTTTCCTTTTAATTTAGACAGTAAACCGCACGGAAGCTCACTAGGCATCAATTATTTGTCTTAGCATTCCTACATATACTGTACAGTGAAGGGCAGAAGTCCAAACTAACCACAGTTCTTGAGGCTGATTAAAATCACATGGCTGTATTTGGCACGGTTTCATGTTTTTTTGTTTCGATTTTGGCTGTTGTTTTAGGTACCTCGTTCTCCCTGCCGACCAGGCAACCCTGGACTACCGGGAAGGCCGTTCCTGCCCATCCGACCGGGCTCTCCACGTGATCCCTCGGGTCCGGGAGGTCCAGGGGGTCCAGAGGGGCCTGGACTGTTGCTGTGATAGTTGTTGGGGATCTGGTTCAGCATTTCGTTGAATCGACCCATTTGTCCTGTAAAATGTAAAATGTGAAACGGTGGATTATAATGCAACCCGTGTTATTATTTGCATATGCATATTATGGCTTACAACATCTTTTAGCCTTGAGTGCACTACTGTTAAAAAGATTTAGGGTCAGTTCAATTTCTGATGGATCATGCACCACTGAAGACTGCTGATAATTCAGCTTTACATCACAGAAATAAATGACATTTTTACATATATTCAAATAGACAACAGTTATTTTAAATTGTAATAATATTTCACTACATTTCTGTATTTTGATCAAATAAATGCATCTTTGGTGAGCATAAGACACTTGGAAATGCATTACCGTTCACGAGCTGTTCGCAGACTTGTCTGGCAATAGATCGCATCATGCTCTGAGACGCAAAGTCTCCCTAGGAGGATGAATATGAGATGTTAACGTCTCCTCCACTCAAACTCTTATGAAATGATAAAAGCAGATATTAAAATCATCACTCACTCTCTCTCCTTTGTCTCCTTTAACCCCAGAAGGTCCCTGTATGAATGAAAATCATATTTCTCTTTAAATAGACTGTGACGCATCCAAAGATGAGCTAAAATCACTCAATCGGTCCTCATTTATGCCCAAAACCGCACTGTGCACTTCAGTGAGTAAATATGTATTGAACTGCAAACAATGTGGATTGTGTTAGACTATTTGCTTTTTTAACTTTTTTAACTTTGAATAACAGTCTCAATGTGTTAGAAAGGTGTCTAAAATCATAATAGGTGCTACTCGTGTTTTGTAAGATTAAACTATTAAACTATTAAAAGAAAAGTGTTGGCCAGGGTTTGCTCTTTTATAGATCCGGAGACACAATGGAGTACTGAGTTGTTTCATTTAATTATCAACTTTGTCTCAGATGTTTCTCCCAAAATTCTTTAAGAGAAGCAATAATAGACTAAAAATAGACCTAAATGTTGTCATACAGTAGGAGTATGGAGCTATAAAATGAATGTGAAGCAGCTTAGATCATTTGATGAGAAATGTTTGAGTTCTCATTGAGATCTGTGATTTTAGATTGCAGACTATCCTTGCAAATCTGAGCACAGTTTGAGAGATTCTTCTGAAAGTCTAGAAGAAACACGTGAGGTTACTGGGGTCTTTTTCTCAGAAGAAAAATCAGCAGAGACTTTGGAAGAAATCTCTTTTCGCTCTCAAACAATAGATGTATTTAAGAGGTGTAGTTTTTCTTTCCTTCTGCCATATGCATTTTGACTAATTTAGCATATTACTGGCAGTGACAGTGTCGTGCTGTTGTATGTCTATGAAAACCAGAAGGTTTCATACCGGGACACCTGTATCTCCATTCTTTCCAGGCTTTCCAGTAGGTCCTGGCATTCCAGGGGCTCCTGGGGGTCCCTGAACAAAAGAATAACAGCTCTGGTCTTCAGCAAAACAGATGTCTGCAATACAGTCTCACATCTCAGCAAAAGAAAACAAATTTAACAACACTCCCTCCCCTCAAAAGAATCAAGAACATACCATAGGTCCTTGTGGGCCCGTGGATCCCATCTGCCCCTCCTTCCCTGGGGGTCCCTGCATTGATAACATACATGCACAGATCTGCATTAGACTGATAACAAATGCACGTTCAAATCCATATGTATCACATGAAACATCTGTGTTGTATTTCACCCCAAAATGAAAAAAGGATATGAAGCCTATTTTAAGGACTTTTGAGATCTTTTGCATTTGTGACATAGTTTTCATAACAATTAAGCACATTTTCCTCATTACTGTATCCATTACTGTAATACAGTAACAAAAATGATCATACACCGCTATTTTTTGCAGTAAAAAAATATAGATAATACTTCTCAACTCAACATTACATAAATAGCACATAGTTGACCAAAGTGCTTCACAGTATAACAATCAAAAGAATTATAAACAGCATTAATTAAAGGCAATACAGCCATACATGTTTAATGTACTTCACAAATGTATAAAATGTAAATGAAATATATATGTTGTACATTGAACAGTGTTCACTCACCCGTATTCCAGCCGGTCCAATAGGCCCGATGGCACCAGCCGGTCCCGGTGGACCCTGAGAGAAAGAATGGAAGAAAAACAAAAGCTAAAACTAACAGACTCAGTGCCAGAGTCTCACACCAGTTTCACATTAGCACAGGTCGCTTACCTCCGACCAAACAAATGAAACTACTTTACACAAACAGTTTCCTCCAACACACAAGATTATATCCTTCCATTTCGTTCATGCTAGTTTTCTTTCTGTCTATCTTTTTCTTTGTCAATCCTGCTTCTCCTTTGATGTCTTGGCATTAGATTTACAGGGTACTTAATATATTCCAGATCCGTTTTACTGGCCGTTATAAACCCTGGCTGCATTCTCTGCAAGTCATTAAATGCATGTTGTTATAGCAACTCCTCTAACATGGTCACCTGCATGGCTCGGCCCACTCTACGTTAACAGGGATCGGATATCACAGTCCGTCCGGAAGAATTTACAAAATGACCATGAAGTATAATCACAACAGTGTGAAAACCTTCAGCCTTTTTTTTTGGGGGGGGGGGGGCCTCCAATTTGTTAATTAACTCAAATAAACATAGTCTGCTTTTAAACAGGATCAGCATAACGCTACCAATCCCTCATTTCCCTTGTGGTCTCAGGAACCAGTTGTGCTTGTTCCTGAGTTTTTTGTGTTGTGAAAGATCTGATTTTTCTCATAATCACCCTTGTGCTATTGCAAACCTTCTAGACTTTCCTTAGATGAATGTCCATAGTGCTCTTTTTCACAATGGGGACTGAGACTTTCAAGCTTGATAAATTACACAAATAGTTTTAAAAGTAGTCAAATAAGTCTTCAGAAGTCCTATGAGGAACAGACTGAAATTTAAGTCATTAATCAAAAATCCACACTTCATTTTGCAGCTATCAAGTATCATTTGAATAGCGATTTATTCAGTCATAAAGTTATCATTTGGCTTCAAATGTAAATACAAGTCTTATGGACATTTATGATACCTTTATGGTGTTTTTTTTTTTTACTCAAAAGCATGAAGAAGAACATGAACATTCAGCAAAACATCCCCTATGGTGTTGCATGGAAAAAATAAAGTCGTACAATTTTGGAATGACATGAGAGTGAGTAAAGGATGCCATATACATGAGTTCTATCTATCTATCTATCTATCTATCTATCTATCTATCTATCTATCTATCTATCTATCTATCTATCTATCTATCTATCTATCTATCTATCTATCTATCTATCTATCTATCTATCTATCTATCTATCTATCTATCTATCTATCTATCTATCTATCTATCTATCTATCCAGGATTTGGCTAAATTACAGCCCCAACCCACATTTTATCTTGTGGCATGATCTACCACTATTGTTGAGCGCTGCCTCCCAGCCATCCCCCCTCCTGAGTTAAGATCTAACGTTTGCCACATGGAGCCCGTCCAGAGAGGTAGCGCAGGCTGTAGAGAGCGAATAATCCTCCTATTTCCCCCCTAAGACTCCGGCAGAGCAACACTTACTTTCTGTCCAGGTAAACCAGCATCGCCTGGATCCCCCTTTGGACCTGGACGACCCTGCGTGGGGAAAATACAAGGAAAACGACATGTCAAAAGAGTGCCCAAAGCTTTGGTAAAAAGCTTCAATGAGATCCAAACAAAAATTAAACATATATATCAGATCAGAGAACAAGGCTGAGAGACAAAGAGTGATTTAAGAGATTGTCTCAAAAACAAGATGGAAAACTCGATTTCTAGAGTTTGTCTGTGCAAAATTCACTTCCAACATGCACAGGTTGTTGCCAGATTATTGCTATGGTGCCCTGGGTGGTTGTTAAGTCCAGGTCTCGAGATATAGCTTTAGTCTCTTTTTCAATGTTAAGACGATAATGTAAAGAATTTCCTATTGTAGGAAATACTTTCAGAATGATTTTTTTTAACAATAAAAACATTGGCGAAACCAATCAGAATCGACCCGAGTTTAAAGAGCTGAAGCATTTAAAGTGACAGATGACTATAATAAACAGAACATTATTGTCACGGTGTGGGTTCATGTCTTGTTCCTGTCTGTCTTGTGTTCCCCCCATTATTGTGTATTTGGTTTAGTCCTGTCTAGTTTTCCCGCTCCTCGTTTGTGTTCATGTTTTCCACCTGTGTTCCTAGTTAATTTGCCCAGCTGTGTCTTGTTTCACTCACCCGTTCCTCTGTATTTAAGCCCTGTGTTTTAGTTCAGTCCTGGTGAGTTCTTAATGTTGTAATGGTTGCTGTGTCCGTTTTTCCAGTCTGAGTTTCTTTTGTTTGTTTGTTTGTTTAATAAATGTGCTTGCAATTGGATTCACTCTAGGTTCATTCTTCCCGCAACGTTACAATTATCATGCGATGGTGTGGATGCTAATATTGTTATATTTATAGTTATCGTTCTTGGAGTGAACGGGCCTCAAATCTGTGGGATTTGTACTGTTTTGCTGTAAAGGCACAGTCACATTAATGAAACTTTGTGGGCAAAGTAGATCCAATAGTGTAATGATGCATGAAGCAACTTTTACTCAGAGGCCACATCAAAACCAAGCAACATTATTTTGGAAAACACAGTGAATCCAAAGTGAAATCCATGTAGTGATATTTCTTTGCCTCGAGAGTCCTGCAAGCGAAATTCCTGATCACATATATGTCACTACATGGATTTCACTTTGGATTCACTGTGTTTTCCAAAATAATGTTGCTTGGTTTTGATGTGGCCTCTGAGTAAAAGTTGCTTCATGCATCATTACACTACCGTGACGTCCGTACTGTGACGGTTAGGGACGAATAGATGTACCGTTGCACCCCCTCAACACATATATATTATATATATATATATATATATATATATATATATATGTATAGAGGGGGTGCAACGGTACATCTATTCGTCCCTAACCGTCACAGTACGGACGTCACGGTTTGGTGCATAGAGTCAGAAAATGAATACAGTCAGTCACAGACGATCAACGCTCCAATCCAGAAGCGAGCACGTGCGGTAATGCAATGCTGTTTGCTAACCTCCACAACAGGAAAAAGAGCAGAAGAAGAGACAATCTATGCACCAACCCAAAACAAGAGTTCAGATGGCACGCAAGAGCTTCCTAGTAGCCTATACGCTGAGTTTCTATTCATTTTTGTGACGCGCTACTCAAACTTCACGGAAAGGAAACCAGGATGGCAGAAAGCGGCATCCTGTTTGTTTTCTTTATTTTACAGGAGCACAATGTTTTGTTTTTATTGTGAGTATACACAAATAAAAATAGACCCTTTACAGTTTCAAATAATGTCTTACTCTTGTCTGTACGACTATCAATGATGGAGTATTTTAAGTTGTTTCCGCTGTTATAATGAGACAAAATCATTTGGCATTGTGCCGATTTGTGCCGTGGCTCGTGGAAGTCTCACTACTACAGTCCAGTGATGAAATGTGATTGTAAGTTTGAAAACAGCCGTTGCATTTTAACGCGCAGCATTGGTCAATCTATCAATTAGAGTAACAAATCTGCAATTTCTTATTTTAAGCAATCATGAATGGTGGGGGGGGGGGGGCTGGGGGGTGCATGTAACTCATACTCGTATCGAACCGTGACCCTAAAACAGAGGTACGTACCGAACTGTGACTTTTGTGTATCGTTAAACCCCTAATATAAATATATATACCGTGAGATATATATCGTGCAGCCCTAAACACTTCCTCTCCTCCAGCCACATGATTTGGGGAATCATTCACATAGAGCGAGTTTCACACTGACGTTTAATGCTTAGGGTTATTGGTTTGTTTCAAATCCTTTTCCAAAGTATGAGCAATAGTAATAGTAATGCTTGCAAACAGCACTAAAACACAGCAGCTGAAACTGAGAGGGGAGTAAATCCAGTGAGATTTGTGTGCTAGCAGCAGGATCAGGCGGTTTCAAGCACTCTGATGAGTGTAAAGCCCCCAGACACACAGGAATGCTGAATCCAGAGCTCGCTGCCATAATTATGCCTCCGCCACAACTATAATAAATAGCCTGAACAATCCCTGTTTGGTGTGCCTAAGGATTTACGGCCGGCTACTGACATCTGACTGTGTGAGGATACAATGGACACATGATGGAAATTGAGATGGACTTACAGCCGTGCCCGGGATGGAGTGCCCACTAGGGCCCTGTGGTCCTGGAGGGCCCATCGGACCAGGCAAACCCATATCTCCACGTTGGCCGATTGGACCCTGCAGGAATAAAGAGAATCAATATACGAAGATGTCAAAGTTTAATCCTGTAGGCAAACTTGATGAATAAGCTATATTGTTCATGTTAAGTTCATTTTGACAGAACAGAAAGGGAAAATCAGACAACGTACAGCTTGACCGGATTCTCCTCTCTCCCCTCGTGGTCCTTTGCTTCCAGGAGCACCCTGGGAAAAGAGAAATAATAGAGAGAACAGTTTTACCATAAATCCAACCAATAATAATGTAAACATGTTAACTATGAATTCAAATTTTGATTAACATTTTAAAAGCATTTTTGCAGAGCCAAATGATACAAACTAAACAAAATTATGCAATAAATGTATGATCTAAATAATACTGTCTAAATTGTACTTCAGTTGACTTACCACTGGCCCCTGAGGCCCCTGGGGTCCCGTGCTGTCTGAGGTGCATGTGCAGGCGTTGGGAAGAGATGGACACTTGGATTCATCTCTCTAAATCACAGAAAGAACAAAAATCCTGAACAAAGCAACTATTTACATGTTCTGAAAGGCATTGAATAGGTACAGTAAATGAAAAGCTGGTTAGTGACATGACCAGACTGATAACCAAAGGGTTGTAGGTTCAACCTTTTGAAGAGCAAATTATCTTACTACAACTGGCAAGTCGCTCTCCGCAGTTTTGGAATAACTTGCTTAAATTAAGATTAAGTTTATCATCACGCAAAAAAACTGAAACACTAAATATAATGGTAGAAGATGAGAAAATAATGAAATTACAAGAGAAAAGTTGGACAGTCGACATGTCATAAATATTCAAATGAACACAAAGAAAATTCAAATTACATGTACCATAACAACACCTTTTTACCATAATGTTGAGAATTTGGCAAAAAAGGAGGTTTGTATGTCACAGACAGTTCAGTAAGTTTGACAGACAAAATAGTGGAATACAAAATACAAAAGGCTCTTCAGTGCAGCGTTTTGATTGGCTAGCCATTTATCTGTCCTAAGGTCAATTGTCATTGTAGCTTTAAAGACACTTACTGTAACCCAACAGCCAGATATAATACGTAAATGTACTGCAAATTACCTTAGATAAAAGTCTGCTAAAAATCCATAATACCACATGTGTTGATCTAGGTCTTTGTTTTTGCATATATTGATGCCCAGGCCACACAACTACAACAAGCCTAATTAAAACCTCTTGTGTTTTGACTGTCAGAAATACCATAAACACATTCAAAGTATTTAATAATTTGCTTATGGAAGACTAAAAATATAATAAAGGGTTTGGACACAGCTGGTCTCATGGTTTGCATTACAGACACACATTCGCAACCCTTTACCAAAGGCACTTAAGTTCAACGATTTCCCACATTTTCAAACTAAAAACCACAAATGAATGGTAGTGAAACATCACTTTTAAAACACATTTGCTGTTGACAAATCAAATATCATGGAAGAGTGCACAACAACAGATCAAAGTAAGGAAATGATCTAACAATATAGCGAGCGGTTTAGCTGAGCACATGTTAAATTTCATATTTGAATCAGGTCAACAGGGATGCATCAGAAACATATGGAATATTACGACAGACCTGCGTGGGCAGATGAAGCTAAAAAAGATGTAGGAGATGTGCGTGACAGCCGATTAACTTCGTCATTTGCTTTTAATTTAACGTGACTTTAAAGCACGTCCACTGGAGCAGTCTGAGGTTAAGAGCCTTGCGTAAGGCCACAATGATCAAAGGCATGGTGTGGGACGCAAACAGTGTGGTTCATGGGTCATTCGTAGCTGAAATTTAACCCAGGCTTTGGGCTTTTCACCTTTGTGTAACCCTAGGTAAGGTTGCACCAGCCGTTCATAGTTTTTACTTCAATTTGAACGTAAAAAGTCCACACTTGAGGCTTAGTATCAACATTGTAAAGTCTAACTATGTTCCGTACAACAACGATGTTCCGTACAGATTAACTTTAACCGCCGATCGCTGAATAAATACCTCTAGGTCATACACAAAATGCATATCTGTGTCGTCTTCATTTCTCCCTCTTTCATCCCCGATCAAAACAGAGACACTCCAGCTGTATGTTCCAGTGATATTTCAGTAAGTTTGCCAGGTGCGCCCACTTCGCTTGAAAATTGCCCGTGGGCAAGCTATACTTCAGACAGCGGCTTGGGTGGGGAGACAACTAGAGCAACGAAAATGTACATTTCAATTTCATTTATGCTTTTCCCAGTATAACAGTCTTTATTAAATGAATATTATGCTATCACAAATTGTTAAATATATTACCCTTTTGTTGACTAAATGCTGTGAAATGGGGATTGTTAAACGATTACGGCCGATGACCGTTTGGCGCCACTCTCAGGCAGCAAAAAAGGCAGCACGTCTGTCAGCAGTGCAGTGATGATGTTTATAAAGGGTCAATTAGGTTAATATTAACATAAATTGTTACATGATTAAATATTTTAACATTAAAATTGATCAGTTGATCGGTTAATTTTCCATTTCGCCGTTGAAAATAAGTTATTCGCTCTGTACGGAACACCATTATAAGCCTGTACGGAACATCGTTAACGCTTATCATCTTCCGTACACAGGTGGAGGAGGTAGTTTTCCCCACTTTTCTCATAAACTATTGGTCCAAAAGACATCAATCAAAGTGTGGACCAATCAATGGGTATTCCCCCGGAGAATGATCACACAAACTTGCTAGTCTTGCTCTCAGAAACGGAGGAGTGGTCGCTGACGTGCGGTGATAGGCTAAAAGTGTACGGAACATGGTTAGTCTACGTTAGATAAGACAAAGATTATTGGACTATGTTTAAAGAAAGTACTATTTCAGTCTTTCAAAATATCAAGCTTAATTCAATGTGTCACTTGCTATTTTTTTATTATTTGTAAAATTTGCTAGCAATTTCTGAGTGAAAAAGTTCAAAGCCCTTTTTTTCAGTGACTAATTATGTACCTTAATCGGTTGCACCATTTATTCTTAAGGCAGAACACACTGTAGCTGGTAGGTTGGAAGCTTTGTAATGCGTATTCGCATAATATGACATTTAGCTGCTACCCTCAGTGATCCAATAGCAGCCTTCAAATATTGTACGTGAGCACAAGTTGTGTTGAAATGCTGTGAATTTTAGTTCATTCTTGATTCTAATTTATTTTGCCTCACATAAGTAACAGTACTTGTTAACTTTAAAGTTAACTCTATTCTTCTCCCAGTTCACCGGCCACTTACTTTCACGTATTTCGGGAGAAGTGGATGAATTCACATGCTATAAATCCAACAGATCCGATTCTCTGAACAGTGGTACACAAACTAACATGGAGGCACATATAGCTCAACTAACGCGATCGCATAAAGGTGTTTCAAACAACATAACACTTCCACTTGCATAAATTTGACAATCGGAATATCAAATATTTCATGCCATAGCTAACAAATTTGTGAATATTTTGAATAAAAAAATGAAATAAAAGCAGATCATTAGTCATTCAGTGGCTGCGGTGTGTCACGTGAGAAACAATGATGCGTCACCATGGAAACAATAAAGTGATAAGTTCTAAATAATGATCGCCTTGAAAAATATTTTACATGTACGTTTAAAAAGGTTAAATATGAATACACAGCCTGTGTTTTTTTTTTATTAAGTAGGCTACAGTAGTTTTTTTTACTTACTATTTTAAGTACAGTAGGCTACAGTTTTTATTTCACTTTTAGGTACAATACATTTGAATTTAATCATTATTTAAGTTTTTTATTTACCTGTATGTAAGCAGAACAGTGTAGTGTTAATGTTCAAACTGTGTTTTTACAATGTTTAAAGTGGCTGACAATAAAATGAGGCAGTTTAATTTCTAATAAGTATATTTATAAATAATAAATATTCTTATTAGAAATTAAACTGCCTCATTTTTGAGCTGTGCATAACTGTAGCTGAATAGTTAGGCCTACTACGCTACTGTATTTTCATATTGGTCATTATGGTGGTACTTGGAGAGCCAAATATTTTCTGAGGTGGTACTTGGTATAAAAAGTTTGAGAACCACTGCTCTAAAGGATTGAAATCTGTCAGGTAAAACGTGTTTATTGGTGCAATTCAGTAAATCTACTATTTAATTCCAACCATTACTTCTGGTCGGAGGCTTCCATATTCAAATTATTATTTGTTATATGTTATGTTTAAACTCATTTTAATGGTGCAATGGAAAAATATTTAGTCTTGTGTAAGTTAACTTAGTGCCCCGTTTAGGTCAAAACTAGGCCAAATTGTAACTTACGCACAGCTGGTGCAACTGGCCCCTGATCTCTAGAGGCTTTCTTAAAGTCTTCACTTACCATTGAAGGAAGGTCACAACATCTGTCCCTGCTGGTCCAGCCGAGACTGCACACAATGTCAAACATCTGGAGCTGGAACTGCCCAACCAGAGAGAAAACGGATGTTACACGTGTCTTTGATAAAAGTTTGCATTTTCAAGTATGGGGCTCAGGCGCCCGATTAAAAGGATTCAGGCTGGAAAGAGCGAGAGAGCATTGAGCTCTCAGTCAATACGTGATAACAAACGTTGTGTGTGTGTGTGGGGGGGGGGGGGGGGGGTTTGTACATAAGGTGCCACTCACTGTTGCTGATTCTCCTTTAGATCCGATAGATTTGGACATTTTGCCGAGCACTTGAAATCCATCCGTCGATGTGTTTCCTACTGGTTTAATCTCCTTCTCAGCCACTTCCTGGCAGTCCACGTTCAGCTTGACGCTCTTGGGAGACACCAGGATGTGGAGCTGAAATAAAAGAAGATTGTTAGATGTTCAAGCTTGCAACTTACTCAAAGGTCAGACCTTACGTTCATCTTCAGCAGTGCAAATCATTAAATAAGTCTCAGTTGGCAGTTTTCTATTGTTGTTCTTAACTCCAAGAGCTCCAGGCCTTAATTAGGGATTTCTGGGAGTCTCTCCATTCAAAGGGAGTGTTCTGGCCAGAGGCACATATAAAAATCAGCAAGTTCTTTCACCACCAAATTCATCCTGACACGTTCAAGGCGATGATAACAGCGAGTCCATTGTAAAATACTTTTACAGAGAAATTTGGGAAAGATTAACAGCAGGCAAAAAGAGTGTAAACAAATACATCATCACATATTAAAGCTTATCCAGCAGATTTCCCATCTGATCTTTCTGGATTGACAAAGTTTGAGGGGTGAATTCACTAAATAGTTGCACCTCTTTACTACAGATACATACTGTACATAAACTGGCATTTATTAAGTAATAGTCCTACTTTTCAGCCTCCAATCTATGCAAATGAGGCTCATTAAGAAACTTGCCCCAAACTTTGAATGGTAGTGTACTTTTACTCCTCTTGATCTTCCCCAAATTTGGGGAATTTCAGACATCTGACAATGAGGGTACTAAACGGGTTGCACGAAGTGGTTAAACGTACTCAATAAACTTTGAACTACTCTGCCTAGAACCATGGTTCTGGAATCATTTGATTCGTCTGTCATGGTAATTGTGTTGCTCAGGCTGCATGTGGTGTGTTTGGCCTTGTAATGGCTGCTTGGCGCTATATTTCTTAGTGAATTGCCTCCTTAGAGTTTTTTCAGCTCTCTGATCCACATAATCAATGTACACTGATATTCCCTGTTCACCACAGCGCATGATGAAGTTGTTCCTCCATATGCCATGGACCGTCGTGCTGCCAAGTCTTAAACACCAGCTGAACGCTGCAGCGTAATCACATTTCTCCAACGCAAGCTAATGGAAAAGTTCAGAACTTATGCTATAGATCGGGAATGGATTGGAAATTTGCGGTTAGCAGATTGAGGAGATTCTGATCTGACCACATAGGATTGGTCAGCATTAGTAAACATGCTGCAGGCCTGAGATACAGTACACTGAAGTTCATTTCACTATTTGGCTAAACAAAGTGAAAGAGACATGATATTCATTAGAACGATGAAGTGATTGTTATGGAGCCAGACCACCATTTCTTTGTGAGGGCCTAAACTAGTTTTCTTTCGAGTCTCTTCACAAACTGCCTATCAGACCTAGTCAATATCAATACAAGCATGACGTAAACGTCTAGTCAAATGTGGTACATATTATCTAGAGCTGTTCCTGTGGTAAATGTGACATGATTATTTACTGTTTAGCCTGGAGATCTCCAGGTTCTTCTGTTCTCTTTTATTATTTTCAATGCGGAATTATATCAGACAGCTTTCTGCAAAATGCACAGTATAAACCGTAGTAATATAACTACTTTTAAAAAAAGATTGTATGTGAAACAGAACACATTATGCAAAGAATAACATTTCAAACATTTGTGTTTTGCATACTATTTTAGGGTTTTCAAACTTTTTAAAGTCAACGTCCACCTAAAATATAATGGTATCTCTTTATTAAGAAAAATAATATGAAAGAAAAATATTTAGTGTTATATTATAAAGACAATTAAATGAAACAATTGTTTCTGAAATTGTGTACTATTATTTTATTACATTTGTTGAAATATTATTTTTAACAATTTTCTTAAAAGTATTTACTTTTATTAAATTATTTTGTAATTCTGAAATTAAATAATGATCTTTTATGCTTTTATCTTTTATGCCTCATCATTTTATTAGATTAGTTCAAATAATTCGTTAAAATAATATCTCAAAAATATTTACTTTCAATTTTTTATATTTTTTCACAAAACTATATGCAGATTTTGTTCCTGATTTTTTAAAACTAGTGCTGTCAATAGAATAAAGTAACCACAATTAATCTCACAATTCTGTCCAGTCAGAAAGCAGAATGAAACTTAATATTATAATTGATTATGTCAAATTTGTAAGGATATCCAGATATTCCATGTATACAGAAAATGCATATACTGAGCACAATATACATACTACAAAACAATAAGTGTAGGATGGCCTTCCAAACCCAATACTTTGCTCAATCCCTGCTGTTTATAATCTGCTGTACTGAAATATTGTTGGAACTGATTAGAATAATTTGATTCTGCTCATTTTGATTGGATCACTGGCAGCCGTCCTCAAACGCCCTCTTTAATGGCCACCTGTGACCGTGCAGAGAGAAGCAGGCTCTTTTAAACAGATGACTTCTCCATTTCAACTGAACCTGCCACACGTTTGGACAGATTTTTCAAAACAGAGCTGTCCTTCATTTTCAGCCAAATCCACAGAGGATATCTGAAGAAACCCTGATACGTCTCTGCTGGCCATACTCTCGGCTACTTGAGAGCTTTCTGCACGCTCATGGTCATTTAGAGTTTAGTGTTAAAAGTTTTTCAGAAATGAACATTCTGTCATCGTTTAATCACCCTCATGCCGTTACAAATCTCCAAAGGACTTTTTTCAGTGAAACACAAAAGGACATTCTGAATAATGTTCACATTGCTGTTGTTCATGCAACGAAACCATACAATGACTAGTGGCTGTTGAGGTCCAAAAAAGACCACGGAAGAAAGAAAGTCACACAGGTTTGAGTAAATGATGACAGAATTTCATTTTAGGGTGACCTATTACTTTATGAGCAACAGTCTTGCTGTTAAAAAATCACATTACTTGCACCCCATAAAAAAGCTTCAGAGTTAAATACTTCGCTGAAGCTAGACAATCTAAATCATGTTTGTTTATCTAGACCAAAAAGCCATCTGCATGAGTAAATGATGTGCCAGAACCATGCAGCTCTTAAAAAACACATTTCATTTCTGAAATTCAGGCATTTTTTCCTTCCAAACAGGAGAGATCTGAAGCGTGAACGGTTTCGTCAAGCACAAAGATGAAAGCTTATGCCATTTGCTTTCATTAAAAACTGTCATATGATGCAGAAGCGCAGGGTTTGCGAACACACTCTGCTCTTTTCAAGACAGGCCTGTGCAAAAAAAACTTTAGGGAAAAATGGTTTACATATTAAATAATTGTGCAGTGATGCCTATGTTGGCCAATCCAGTAAATTAAACACTTTACAAATGAAATGTACTTCATCTCTTTAGGATTTGGACCTTGATGGACTCAAACCAAAAGATCTATTCATAACAAATGAAGTCTGACATCAGTACAAAAACAAATTTGCATTGTATAACACTTGAGTTAAAAACCAAAGACTTACAACAGTAAAACTAAATATTATAAAAACAGCTGATATAAACAACCTGTGACCCTCAACTGATTTCAATATCAATGCACCAAATTTGGATATTGCTTGGCATTCTAAAGTAAACTCTAGCTTTGCTACTAAACCCCTAATAAATTCTTTATCTTGACTTATTTGGGACACATCCTGCTCTGTATCTTCACATTGCTTCATGTCATTCTCACATGCAAATATTGTAAAGCAGTCCTGTCCACTGCTGGCCACACAAATACACAGTATCTACCATATGCCATTATAAACTGTCACACCATCCGGTCTTACTTTAAAGTGACTGGTGATGTGTTTCCTGAGGGTATAGACTGATGTTCACACAGGCCAAAACCACAACAAACAAGCCACCGCACCTCTCGTTCAAACCACAAGAATTTCCCCTGTGGTCAAATTTGACAGTGAACTTGACGGTCCATCAGGATCAAGGCCAGACAGAGATACTGACTGAAGATAAGGATGAACGTATAAATCAACTCAAAGTAATTCACCTGCTCCACGCTTGGCATCTGCTGGCACTCTGATGTAATTGTTTTTTTAAAGGGGTTCAACATTTTCCTGTTTGTCTGCCAGAGAAACACTTTTGTGAAGGTGATTTCTGTCTTTTTTGCAGCTTGCCACATCAAACTATAATTTCAACGTAAGCATTTGTGGTGTTCCACCAAAAATTCTCACCAAAAGCCTTCATGCACAGTCCAAAACTGGCTCATTTCAGATTGAAACCCTCTCATTGAATGACTTTGCTGACAGTAACCTCTCTTTGTCCCACATTTCTATTCCACAGTTGTAGACCATTGTCTCCTTGAAAGAAATTGCTCCCTTGATCTATATCCGTGAACATCTGTGCATGTTGTCCTGCATTCAGACATAATGGACATTTGTTTTGAGTCTGTTTTGCTGAAGACCTCACATATCTTGGCTTTGTATGCGGACATAAGGGTCATTTATGGTGGAGAATGTGGGCATACGTCTCCACCAATTTTTACCATCAATATGCATAAAGCACAGTAATAAACAAGCAATTTACCTTGTGAAAGCTTCCATGGAAGATCCTCTTGATTTGATCATTTTTAAACGTGGCTCGTTGGATCTCTCCTGTTGTATCCTTATTATAAAATGACACAGTTTGGGCGGATGCTGAGCAAATAGAAATAGAAAAGTAGAGACAAAGAGTTAAAATTCCCACAAACTAGAACAAACAAACATCCTCTACAGTAAATGTATGATCGGTCTAAATGAGATGTTGTGGACCAGGCCTAATCAGATCACTGGGACAGAGAGAAAGAAGCCTTGAGGGGCATTTTATTACTTTTTCAAAGCCTATAGATCTCAGATATGTTATTTAAGTATAAACTTTGTTTCTCAGATGTTTCTCGCCAGTAGAAATAAAAGGAGAAACAAAGTAAAAGTCTAGAGAAATGAAAGTGGACATTGTACAGGACTCAAAAATAAGGAAAAATAAGGATCTTAAACATGTGGTTTTCTGTGAGGCAATCAACTTTGTTAATATGGACTCTGGTGATTTAAACTTGCAACCAAGATAGAGTTATCTAGCTGGCTGACACAGATGTTTTTTTTAATTTATTTTATTGCAAATTATTTATGACAGTCTTGGAAGCATCCATTGGAATTGATTAAAGTTTATAAACAAATCACTGTGCGACCTGTTTTTCCAGCAAAAGTGTGTGTGAGAATTTAGAGTTGTTGTAGAAGTAATATTAGATCTTTTTTTGCAGATGAAAAACCTAATAAATTAGTTATTTTTTATGTTTTTTTTCCTGGACATAAAAATAAACATTTTTTAAACCAAAAACAACAGTTGTGAACATAAGGAGGGAAACAGCATTTACGGTCGATGGTGACGCCGGTCTCAGGTTTGTAATTCTTGTCTGACACCTGCCAGATATCGAAGGCCTCGTTCGGTGAGTCCGGCAACAGTCGGAACATCAAAATGATAGTGTATGTATAAGGAAGGCCATCAGGATGAATATATCTGTAAAAAAAAAAGAAAAAAGAAAAAAAAGTCAGTCAGAGCGAGGAGGAGTATCTGTTCTTTCTGCAGACATCAGCACTGGCAGGCCAGACTAGATTTATTTGTTCCAGTGTTTTATCAGAACTTTTCTATGGTAAAATAATCACGGAAGTGTGTGGGAGAACCGTGGCTTTGAATGCTTTTGGATAGTGGGCTCTACCTGGGCAAGCAGCAGCATGTTAACAAAAGCCAAAGAAAGCTCTCACTTTAGCCTTACAGGCCTCTAATGACACTCTCTAATACCAAATTACTTTCACAGTGATGTCTGCACACAAGCACACTGCCAGAGTGTCATCGTACGAACAACTGATTTAAAATAACCATCATTACTGTAATCAATAAAAAACATGGCATTACATTTAGCATAACTGCAGTTATCTGAAGAAATGGAGTATTATCTCCCCTCCCCCCTCCAAAAAAGTTTGGGGTCTGTGATTTTTTTTGTGGGATGTTTTTGAAAAAATAACTTATGCTCACCAATGCTGCATGTATTTGTTCAAAAATAAGTGTTTTCTATTTAAATACATGTTAAAATGTAATTTATTCCCGTGATCAAAGCTGAATTTTCAGCATCATGTCACGTGATCCTTCAGAAATCATTCTAATATGCTGATTTGCTGCTCAAAAAATATTTCTGATTATCATTTTTTATTCAAGCTGCAAAAAGTACCATATTCTTTTTTTTTTAGAGAAGTGGTCTTGTATTCTACTTGTATTCTACAGTAAATTTCTTCTAAAGCACAAAAAATCTTGCTCTTTGGTCTGATTTTTGAACATTCAAATATGGCGTGTCAAGACGCATCACACCAGGTTTGACGTCAACTTGCATGTCTTATAACAGATCAATATGTGTGACAGTGCCGGTTTACTGTCTGCTTTCACTGTGTGGGAAGAGCTAAACTTCTCCTTTTGTGTTCCACATAAGAAATCAAGTCTGAAAGAAATTGCACTGTTCCTTTAAATTCACCATGCAGAGTCATACATGCAACAGAATTGTACACAAAATCAGCATTCAAATCAAATCCAGAGAGGATTGTGCTCACGATGAGGGCTGGTTCAGGAAAGCGTTCTTGTGGAGCCTGTAGGCAGTGTAGCTGTTGAAGGAACCAGGCTCCATAGAGACACCCTTGGTGTTAGCGTACATCTTCTCAGTCAGATTGAAAGCTTCCAGCATTCTGAATCCTGGGAAATCACATAATTCATGTTAGTGGTCTACATACATAAACACACGTATACAAACACTTCCATTCAAAAGTTTGAGGGTCATGATGGTTCTCTTTTTTTTAAAGAGATGAATACTTTATCCAGCTAGGACACACTAAATTGATCAAAGAGTGACCGTAAAAGACATTTAGAATGTTACAAAAATTCTAATTTCAAATGCTTCTCAATTCAAATTGTATTCATAAAAAAGAATGCTAAACAATGTATATGGTTTTTGTCACAGTTTCACTCCTCACATGTTTCCCTGTCTGTGTTTCCCGCCACTGATCAGTCACCATGGACACCAATCACCTTCATCACAGCTGTTAGTCATTTGTTAATTATCTCTGTGTATTTAGTTCCTGCTTGTGCTCTGTCTGTTGTCCGGTATTGTTTGTATCACCCGTATGTGTGCCTGTTCCCATCTTCTTCTGGAATAAACTGCTATTATTTGGATTTGCTTGCCTTCGTGAACTCTTTTGAACTTGCCTCACGCAGCATTGTGATAGAATACCGGACCAAACTAAGAACGCGTTTGTACATTTTCCTTTGTTTTCCCCGTTTTCGTGTTCAGTGTTTTTGTTCCGTTTTCACCCCTGCTTATCACCATGGACTTCCCAGCAGTAAGACTCATGTGCCTTGAGCAGGGAGAACGCTCCCTCGAGGAACACTTGGAAGTGTTTTTGGATCTCGCCCATCAGACCACCTTCCCGGACGACTGCCTGTGCACATTCCTGCGAGTCGGACTCAACGCTGCCACACGCGCACAGTTGTCCGGGGAGGTATAAGAGCGACCGAGGGTCACATCGCCATGGAGCCCGAGCAACGTGCACCTGACCAGGTGTGTGAGCCGGACGAGCCGGCCGAGCCATCCATCGCTGAGGGAGTACTGGTAGACTTCGAGGGTTTGGAAGTGAGCCCCGCCCACTCCTCCGCTACTGAGAGTGTGTCTCTGGCTGGTACACATTTTGATTTTGGAGAGGAGTTTTGTCTAGCCCCTGTTCTGTTGCCTGAACTTGTCAATCCCGATCCTGTCAATCATCTGCCTGTCTCATTAGCCCCGCCCAACCTCCCTCTCCCACCTCCTCTCCAAGGTATCCCGAACACTTTATTTTTTTTAGGTTTCTGCATTGGACTCCAGTCTCTTCCCCAGTCTCCAACCATCTGTACCACCCAGTCATCTCTGTCACCCTTCAGTCCTTCGGTACCACCTCTGCCTCTCTGTAGCGGGGTACCACCTTGGACCTGTCGGGAGCCATCTTCTCCTGAACAAGAGGAGTCTGTAGCTCCGCCTGCAGCCTCGGTGCGCTACACTCTGCCTCGACCTGTCGCCCTGGCTCCCGAACCTGTGCTCCTTCCACCCTCGACCTCGGCGTGGACCATCGGCCATTCGGTCTCGCCGGACTCCCTCGGCACGTCGGCTCCACCGAGGTCAGACATCGCTTCACCTCCACCACGGACTTGCGAACCGTCCGCTGCTCTCTGGTTCTCCACCCCTTCTGCTACGGCTTGCTCCGCCCTACCTCAGGCTACACCTCCGCCCTCGGTCGTTCCAACTCGCCCTCAGACCTCCGGATCCCCACCTCACTCTCGGGAGGTCGTCGCCGCGGCTCCGTCGCGGTCACCAGGATCTTCACCATCTTTCCACTTCCTCGGCTCATCGGCTGCGCGGTGGACTCCATCCTCGCCGTCGTCGCCTCCGGTCACCCCCATTGCGGCCCTCATCTCTATTCCTCCATGGCTCCTCCCTCCATCAACGCCGCCGTGGGGCACCACTCTGGCTGTGGCCTGGGCACCTTCCATCACGCCCCTGCCCAAGGCCCTTCACTGGCTCTCACCACGATCTGCACCACCCTGGACCCTTCAGTTCTGTCTCCTCCCTGTCATCCGTCCTCCGCCCGAACCTCCTCCAGCTTCCTCTGCCTACGTTGCCTACCCTTGGCCATCCCTTCACCATCCCTTCGCCATCTCCTGGCTCCTTGCCTGCGGCATCGCCTCGCCCACTTTCTAGACCCCCTCCATCCCTCCCTCTATTCTTCTGTTACGGCGCGAGGTCGCACCTACCGAGAGGGGGCGTTATGTCACAGTTTCACTCCTCACATGTTTCCCTGTCTGTGTTTCCCGCCACTGATCAGTCACCATGGACACCAATCACCTTCATCACAGCTGTTAGTCATTTGTTAATTATCTCTGTGTATTTAGTTCCTGCTTGTGCTCTGTCTGTTGTCCGGTATTGTTTGTATCACCCGTATGTGTGCGTGTTCCCATCTTCTTCTGGAATAAACTGCTATTATTTGGATTTGCTTGCCTTCGTGAACTCTTTTGAACTTGCCTCACGCAGCATCGTGACAGTTTTCACAAAAATATGACCGTTTTCAAAATAAGAAATGTTTCTTTAGCAGAAAATCAACATTTTAGAATTATTTCTGAAGGATCATGTGACACTAAAGACTGGAGTAATGCTCCAGGATATTAGGCTTTGCAGGAATCACAGGAATAAATAACATTTTAAAATATAAAAATAGTTGTAATAAGTTTTACTGTATTTTTTATCAAATAAATGCAGCCTTATTAAGGATAAGAACAAAAAAAATCATGCCGATCCCAAACTTTTAAACAGTAATGTACAGTATATGACACACGCCTACCTGGTGATGTGAATCCATTAACATAGATCAATGGACAGGCTGTGGAAGCAAAACGTAAAAGCGTTAATTTAAGTTTCGAACAGATCAGCTATAAAATTCTCAAAGCTCTCTTAAAAGTATAATTTGTAAAGTACCACAAAACATCAACTCACAGGATGTTGCAGTCTCACAGATGAACGTGACCAGGTTGTCCTGAATGGTGGAGAAGGCATCAAAGTCGTCCACCACGAAGACGTGACGGTCGCTTGGTTTGCTGGCAATGTTCTGCAGCTCGACGAAGTCCACATCAGCCACGCCAACAACAAACACACTGTAACCTGATACGGCACACCCTACATTAGCATATTTATCTTATAGTCTATACCTAAAGTGTTATTGCATCAAAACAGACATAATTAGGTTGTGGTTTCCTACTACACCTTCAATGATCGTCAAAGCTCTGCATACTGGTGTAGTTCACACTGTCATTCATCAGTTTTTGAATTCTGAATAGGTGTTGATGTGTAAATATGGGTGGTCATATGGTAATGAGCTCATGCTTATGTCATAACTTTACAGTTTGGCAGCGTGTCATACCAGCGTGCTGTAGCTTGGCAGCATTTTTCTGCACTTCATCCTGAGAACGTCCATCTGTTACGGCCACCACGACCTTCGGTACGTTTCTCCTCATTCCATTGTCTAGCGTGAAGACCTTCTCATTCACATGCTTCAGAGCCACACCTGGGAGTGTCAAAGGTGAGGAAACAACATCAACAAAACTCATCCCTCGTAAGTTTAACATCTAAATATCTGTCTAAACTGCTAATTCTTCACATTAAGCTTGGCCAAAATATATTCAACATCAATTTTTTTTATCTATCTGTCAAGAAATGTTTGGGTCAAATAGGCCTATCACCACAAAATCATTAATAAATTATATAAATCATTTATATATAATAATAAATATATAGACACATACAATTTATATATATACACAATTATCATACAAATGTATAATGGTTATTTTATTTTATTAATTTGTATAATAATTTCTTTTTTTAAATGTATACTAATTATTTTTGCACAAGGAAAAGCAAGCCTCTTTTAGGATCATTAGGATTTTTAGCATTACAAAACGGTAAGCATACATCATGGTCATCTTTGTTGTACTGAATTTATTTTATGCTGACTAAAATTTAAAAAATTCAAAATAAAATAAACCTGAAAGAAACTTTAGGGTGAGACATTTCCCTTTCAACAACTTTGAAAGTTTTAAGAGCAGATGTGAATGTTTAGGTGTTGGGGTGATACCTGTTTTTGTGTTTCCTCCCCTGTAACGGATGAGTTTCAGAGCAGAGAGCGCGGTGCCTTTATCGTTATACGCATTGAGCCGGAACTCAGTCTTTGCATCGTCACTGTACTGCACGAATGAAACCTTTCGACACAAAAATAATGAGATACAATTAAACACGGTAACAATGATTCAGTGACGCAACATATTTGACCCAGAGATGATTGGTCCCAAAGTCGCAAAAAAGTCGCAACATGTTATAGGTGATTAGCAGGGTGTTGCTATTTGGTTGCTAGGGTGTTGCTATTCTCTTGCTAGGGCTTTACCTGCATTCCTGATGGGCCGATAACATCGAAGGCACCAACGACGCTGGAGACAAACTGGATCACTTTACTGAAACTCTCATCTCCGATACTCCAGGAGCCATCGATGAGGAACACTACGTCTGCTTTTGCTCCTTTGCATACTGAGAACACAAAAACAACTCTATGAACTGGAGAACGCAAGAACAGCTTTCACCAAACCCCTCGTTTTCTAATTAAACTTTTACATAAGAGCAGAAAATTGTAGTCTTGAGTTTTCTTCCGGAAATTCCTCATTTCAAAAATTCATACGCAGAATAAAGGGGCGGGGCCTGGTTGAGTTAGTAAGTAGTGTGTTGAAACTGGCGGTTATGGTAAGTGGTCGGGACATTTCCCAAACATGCTGGAAGCACTTGACCAATCACAACACACTGATCCAGCCGACCAATCAGAGCACAGTGTGCTTTTCAGAAGGAGGGGCTTCATAGAGACTGGAACTAAACAGGGGTGCGTTTCCCGAAATCATCGTTAGCCAACTATGGTCGCAAGTTCCGTCGTTACCAATAGAGTTCAATGAGATTTGCGACCAACTTGCGACCATAGTTGGCTAACGATGCTTTCGGGAAACGCACCCCAGAGCGTTACTGACAGACTGGGAAGAGAGGAGCTGCAACAATGTCAAACATGGGAAAAAATAATGTGTGTTTTTTTTTTTATCAAGCATGAAAACCTATTCTAGTAGAGCCCAAAAACAAAATCAAGACTTTAAAAAAGGGCATAAAATATCCCCTTTAATAAAATTACAATGTTTCATATTAGTTCACAATGCATTAATTTTGATTTTAGAAATGTTTTAGCAAATGTCAAAATTAAGATTATCTAAGATAAAAAAATTCTGTAGAAGTATTGTTCATTGTTAGTTTATGTAATTAATGGTGTCATTTTCAATCAGACGAAATGCCCTTTTGGAAAATGTCTCTCTTAAATGTATAATCCTCGGTGGATTATGTCTCTCCATACTTAAAGCCAGCTGACTCCTCTGGAATAGAAAACAGTGTATGTTGAAGCATCTGGCCACTTGTAGACTTCTTGCATGATGAATAAAAAGGTTTTGAGCATGATCCAGCATGAATTTAGGGATCCAAATTTTTTTTTTATGAATTGAAGATAAAAAGAAAGGATCCGTATTTTATTAGTAGAAGGATTTTTTCCAAGGTTTTAAAACTGAAACTAATTTGATCCAAACTCATTGCAAAGAAGCAGATCTAGAATGCATAAATGCATGTATCCATAAACAGTTCTGGACACTCTATTCCACCATTCCAAACACATCCTGCAATCTATTTAACTAACACGATTTTGAAGAAAACGTGAGTACTGCTTGTAAATTGAAAATCTGCTGCCACGAAAAAACATGAAAATTGGCATGATTTGAGGTGTCTATGATGAGTTTCAATGAGTATGAGTATCTGTGAGTTTCTAAAATCTATGAGTTAAGGCTGAAGGCACTTACCCGCCCAGCCGGGTGGAATAGTGGGTGGTGGTGGAGGAGTGGGTGGCTTTGTTGGCACCGGTGTTGGTTTAACAACTAGATGAACCAAAAAAAGAAAGAAGACATTGTAAGACCATTGTTTAAATTCAGCGAGAGGATAAATTCTGCTTATTTCTGGATAAAGGCTGAACTCACGGGTGCGTTCTTTAGCACTGACTCCGGGTCCCTCTAGATTGGGTGTCTGGACAAACACTGTGGCGCTGTAGAGGGACTCCGGACTCAAACCTTCGAAACAGAACTGACTCTGACCCGCAGTGATGGTGATCTCCTGCTGACCTTTAGCTGCCGCTGCAAACAGATTAAACAATAGTACCATGGTACACTGAAGGTATCCAAACATACTACAGTATTTACATATATTTTAAGTTGTTAAAACCAATAGATTACTATGGTACAGTCTTGGTAGTAACGCTTCCTTTTACAGTACAGTACTTATGTGTACTTACAGTGTACTTACCTAGAAAGTACTGGCTAATATAAAGTAAGTACATGGGTTAGGGGTAGGAACAGGGTTAGTACCTAGTTATTACCCAGTAATTGTAATTACTATAATAAGTACATAGTATCTGCATGGGTAACAGGACTGTAAAAGGAAGCGTTACCAATTTTTTATTGCTGTAATTCAGCAAATTTACTGAAATTATCTTCCATGAGCTCCTTTAGAGCTGTAATCTGTAAAAGTTAATGGTCGAGATGCACACTAAACATTACAATAAAAGTGAACACAAAAGATAAAAAAAAACAGATAAAGCTTTTCCCGAATAACCAATCTGGATGAATGAAGTTACAGTTAAAAAGCAGGGTGCTTCGATGTAGTTTCCACCAAAAAAAAAAAAAAAAATGCAGTGATATATAAGCCTATCATTAAAAAGTTTGGGGTTGTAAGATTTTTACATTTCTTTGAAAGAAGACTCTTACGCCCACAAAGGCTGCATTTATTTGACAAAAATACAGTAAAAACAGAAATATTGTTAAATATTATTACAATATGAAACAACTGTTTTCCTGAATTTTGAATTTTGAAAAGCTTCATAAAGCTGAATTTTCAGCATCATTACTCCAATCTTCATTGTCACATGATCCTTCAGAAATCATTATAATATGATGATTTGTGATATATTATGATATTGATTAATTGATTGATTGATTGATTGATTGATTGATTGATTGATCTTGCTGACCCCAAACTTTTGAACAATGGTGTATGCATAATGAGTGACAGTGAATGAAAACATCTTGATGGAGTGGCCACATGCCTAAAAATGTTGCCTTGGTGGGCAGATCGCTAGGTTTTGGAACAGATTAGTGCTAACTTAAGGTAGAGGGTAGTGAGGGTTCAGTTTAAGCGTGACTCACGGTCCAGTGAATTCAGCTTGATTCTGTAAGACGTGGCGGCACGGTGAGGCGTCCATTTACTGCAGAACCTGTCATAGCCAACGTCGTATGTCTCAAGGTTGGTCACATTGAGGTACACTGAAAGGACAAGACGGAAATGTTGCACTCAAATTGGGAATCTTGCTGGCATTGAAAACAGTGGCATAAAACCAAACCTAAAAAAAAAAAATCTGAAACCGTACATGTTGTCCCTTGTCCCGTGAGAGGTTTGCTGACACCGCCATCATATTGGGCGAACACCTGAACGTCGTACGTTGTGCCAGGAAGCAGGTTATGTAGGGTATAGCTGGTGACATCACCAACATACACCTCCAAAGACTCGTCTCTATCTAAAGGAAGAATGGCAACAAAATATTTAACAATTAAATTTCACTGTGGAATTTTAAACAGAAAGAAAACAGGGTCAATTATGATTTCATGATGACTGAGTAAAAAATTTAAACAAATGATTTGGTACCTGTTGGTTGATAGACTAGTTTGTAACCCATGACCGGAGCTGAAACCGGATCCCAGGACACACGGAAGCGCGTGTACCACTCGTCTGAGACTCGCAGGTTCTGAGGTTCCAGCAGGTCAACTGAACATAAGATGTAAGTAAGATCCATGGTTAAAAACTACTGCTAAATATCACAGTAATAGTGTTTAAATGCTCCTATAACAAGAAACGCATGGGTTAACAGTTCTGTTACAGTTGTGCTGTGTTACTATTAGCTGACGGATGTTCTGGATTCTAGCCCATGCTAACAGGGAGATTTAATGTTAGTTTATGCCAACAGAAACAACAGTTTTTCAAACTCTCCACCATGCCCTACCAGCAATTACTCATTCTCATTAAAACCTCAAATGGCAGAAGGCGAGGTTGAGATTGTACTACTTGTACTTGCTACTATTCAGGGTTATTATTGTTATAACTAAAACCAATTGTAACTATAACTAAAATGATTTTTTAGTTTAAAACATTTTTGAAAGAAAGCTAAAATAACTAAAAAAAACTTGACTAAACAAAAATGTAAGCACTAAAATTAGTAACTGGAATTAAATAAAAAAAAAACTAAAACTAAATTAACTCAAACTTAAATAAAAATAAATTAAACCTAAATAGTTATTTAACTAAAACTAATAAAAATGACCAAAGCGCATAACAAAATGATTAAAAATTGAAAACGGAAAATATAAAAATAAAAGCTAATTCAAAATATTAATAAAAACTATAATAGTACATAAATAATACTACAATATCACTGCTACAAACTATAGCTTCCCAAAATACAAGTTACTTAAAAAAAACTGCTGAAATAATGTCATGCTATTGAAAAACGCATTAAAAAGAAATGTTGCAACTTTTAGTTAGTTACTCCTGAACACAAGTTTTCTTTGTACAGCGATCTCAGAAAAAGCAACCAATGCTTAGTAATCTGTTTGTTTAGCAAGGGCACTCACGTGTTTTTCCATTTCCGTTCAGGGATCCTCCAGGTCCCTCGGGATAAACTGCTGAAACGGTGATGTTGTATGGGGTGTCAGGAAGCAGATTTTGAAGGATAGCATTATTTCTGTTGCCAGGAACAACAGTCTGTAGAGAAAACCATCAGATGTATGACGTTTGGTTCAATGACCACAACCAAGAATAATTTGACAAATCAAACAGAATAAGATGCACTGAAGAATCATGCACAGTATAATAATAAGCACTTATCAGGAAAATAAATAGGGTTAATTTAAATTGTATGTTCACTTCATGTCATAGACATTAATGCAAAAGGACTGTAGTGCAGATGGAAAGAGTCCTAAAATCAAAAGTATTGCCACAGTGAATAACTAAATATATAAATTTGTAGCAAAAATTTCAACTCACAAATTCTGTGATGGGATCTCCAGTCAAAGGAGCATACGTGATCTTATATTGTTGCACGGGACCCTCGGCGTGATCCCAGCCAATGCTGATCGTGCTTGTGGTGGTTTCGAAGACCCTCATGTTCCTGGGTCCAGCTCGTGGTACTGGAATAGACCACATTTACAAAGCTTGATTTGAGTGATTGCCAGGGAGTTGCCATGCTGTTGCTTTGGGTGTTCTGGTAGATGGTTTAATGTCGTGATAAAACAGAAGTAGCAACAGATCTTTTCTTCTGTATTGTGACATACATCCAAGTGAAATGGATTATCGAAAAATATTTTTTTTAGGGCAGAGACATGGTTCTATGCATCAGTTGTTGATTGGCTGTTGAAAAGTGGGCGTGGCACACAAAAGTGAATGCAAATAAAAGTAAGCTTGCAGGGGAGGGTTTAGGCAGACTAAATGATTCTACTTAAAGTCCTGCATAAGTCACTAGAGAGTCTTTCATTTTCACTGTCAAGGTCCAGTTATGACATTTTGATTAAACAGTAAGAGGTAAAAACATCCAAACAAAAAGAAACAAATGCACAAATTGTTCACAATAAGATCTATAACATGCATGTAGAAAATGGATTTATTTTCATTTCATGCTGACTTTAATAGCATCAAAATATATTTCCATCTATGCATTTGTATGTCATCAGTATCATCTGTGTTTTGGTGTATAAAGCAACATTTTTAAGACTCAGCTCACATGTTTTTCCTTTTCCGTCAATTCCCGGGCCTTCTCCGTCAGCGTATACTGCCATCACATTCACAGAGTACGGAGTATCCGGGATGAGCTGATCTAGGAAAGCATTGATGATGTTGCCAGGAACGAGAACCTGAGGAGAAGACCATTATTTAGATAACACAGAGACCGGTATATTCACAAACATCCACTGTATGACAAACCGCTGCAGAAGTTGCGAATCTGGCAAAGCAAATATACATAATGACGTCACTGTTAAATCCCTGTTTAGACTAGCGCAGCTAGATAACATTTCCAAACAGATATGTAATACAAACAGATGTGCTCATGGGGTTAAATGTTACATAAATACTGTCAGATCAGCGTAATTGCCCCCAGGGGGCGGCTGGAGCTGAAGAGAGACTGGATTTGGGAGACGGGGAAACCCCTTCGGCTACCTGTCAACACCATACAGGATTATCACCCCATCTGCTCAATTGCTTCTCATTTTTGGGCTTCACATCACTGATGACAGCTGCATTCTTTCCATACACCAACGTTCGTGACAGAATCAGTTCTGTCTTAAACTGATGGGTTTGACAAATATGGGTCAGCAAGCAGGATGTGTATTTTTTTGTGTGTGTTCCAACTTGTGTTTAGCAATACAGAAGGGGGACTTGTGAGCCTGTGAGACCCCTAAAGAACTTCTATCTATGAAAAACCCAGTAAATGACGCCTAAAAGCAAAAGGGTAGGTGTTAAACATCCTGAGCTGGGGAATAACTTGAATGAACTAACTTAAATCTGAAACTGTGACAGTAGCAAAAACAAAGATTAATTTCTTGTTCTTCAATAATGAGCATTAAGTAGTGATGGATCTTGGAATAAAAAATCAAAACATTATAGCAGTCAATAAACTCCTAGAGGCAATAAACTCCTTACCCTGAAATATTCCTCCTTCTCTCTTTCTCTGTAGTATTAGAAAGTCTGATTAATTTCACTGAATCTATTCGGACGGTTTGTTGTAGCAATGAACTTGTTCAAATAAATAGATTCACAGATTCATGAGTCATCCCCCAGTTGGGTTCACAAAAGCCATTTTACTTGCTGTAGTTTAATAAATATTTAGTTAAACACTGCTGTTTATCATTATGTTTTCAATTCATTGTCTTTGTTTGGGGTTTATTAGCTGTATTCTGTGTAAATTTACGTTTTTGAGTTAAGTGAGGTCATCATTGTTTTATTGTAAAATCATTGTAATAATTATATAATCTGATAATTATTTGAAATGTCTTGCCCCGTATTACAGTTTCAATGTAGTTAGCTACAGTTTACTACTTTTTAAAAAGGGTAGCTTGACGGCAGATTAACTATCAATCGGTTGCATGCACCCATTGGATGAGCTGCATCCAAAACTGTATCCAAAAGTGCTGATAAATATAAACCCTTCAACATATATTTCATATACAGTGTTCCTGTAGCTCAAGTGGCTGAGCATGATACTAGCAATGTCACTGGTTTGGTTTCCATGAAATGCACATATATTTAATGTACAATACATTAAATGCATAACTTAAGTTTTGCATTGAAGTGTCCTCTAAATGCATGTTAGTTAATGCTGTGTATGCGTGTTCGTGCATCACTCACAGACTCAAGAGGCCGGATCCCACTTAGCGGGGCGTAGGCGACCCTGTACTGCTGCACCTGACCCGAGGCGGGTTCCCAGCGCACGTTCAGAGTGTTGGGAGATGGGTTGTAGACCTGGATATTTCGGGGTGGGACTCTTGGAACTGTGTGTTGAAAGAGAAACCACAAAACAGCAGAGTGAGAACAAGGAATTTACAGAACAGCAGAGAAAGTCGAACAGCTCACAGAATCGTTTAAACAGGAGGAAGCTCAGTAAAGTTCAGGAATGAATGCTGAGCGAGGCATTCGACAGGGACGCAGACGGGTTTTATGGTGAGAAAGTGGCAAAAAGGAAAGGCAGGTGGTGGGGGGCACTTAGGGTTGACGCTAAAACGGCATTTCACGCTTTTTAAACCAAAGCAGATGTGAAAAAATTCCTACAGAAATCAGTAAAAAACTATCCAACATGAGTTCAAAGGATCCCATTTCTTTTAGTGCATCTTATTGTTATGTATGCAAAACCTCAAGTGCCCTAAACCTGTAGGTTTTTTTTGTAGCGGCCTAACATACAATCGATATTTAGCATTTATACCAACATGCTTCACAATAAATGGTGGTCTATATAAAATCCAGTTGCTAGGGTGCTTTGAGTGGTTACAAAGGCATTGCTAACACATGTCTACAACAGACTCGAGTGGTGCGAAGTGAAGAAGGCAAATACAACATATTATATTCAGTGATGCTGTCTATACTGGATGCGGCAAATCCCCAACAGTAAACTCAGTTCTATTTCTGATGTACTTCAAGCACTTGCGCTACTTCTGATAGGAAGGAAAAATGGATTTGCAATTGTTACTTTGTCGCGTCCACTGTGGACAGCTTCTAGCTGTTGCGGTCGCGTCCGTTGTAGACATATTGTAAGTGGTAGCTACGGTGTTCAGGGTGTTTTTATTATTGCTATGTATTTGCTAGGCTGTTGTGATGGGTTGTTTGGTCCAAGTAAAAAAATATGAATTGGGTTTTATTTTCTGCCTGATGAACAATATTTAGGAAAAGTCGTAGCACAGCTCTATTCAACAAGCCGCTCGATTTGAACACCTGTGTACCTCACGTTTTTTAAGCCATAACAATAGCGATGCGTAACTCTGTAATTCACAAGTACAACTTACGTGTCTTTCCTTTCTCAGACTGCCGGAGACCCTCTCCCTCTGGATAAACAGGAACCACAGTCACGGTATAGACCGTGGCTGACAGAAGGTTTCTTAGGACGGTGTTGGTGGTGCCTCCAGAAACTTGCTCCTTTTGATGTATAGAATTTAAGAGGAAAGTTATAGAAGATCAGTAGCATCATGTCCAGAAGACAATAGAGGTTAGCATCTTTTACCATGTCCTCTGCACCACCAGATGCTGGAACGTAGAAGATTCGATACTGCCGGACGTTACCCTCAGCAGGCTCCCAGCGCACCTTCAATGAGCTGGTTGTGGGATCAGTGACCTGCAGGTTTTTCACTCCACCCAGAGGCTCTGGGAATTGTGAGAATTGAAATTAAGTATGCTGCATGCTAACACAGAGTACAATTCAAAATTTACATTGCAGGTACACACTTGTTTTCCCATTCTCAGACTGTTTCTTTCCTTCGGCATCTGGATATACTGGTACTACGGTGACCCTGTACTCCGTGTCTGGCAGCAGGTTTCTCAGAACAGTATTGGTGGATACTCCTGACACTTGAGCCTGTAGAGTACATCAGTGCAGGCACACACTAGTTAGCAACCAACTAACCAAACTGACAAACGTGAGACAAATCAGGATTCGTCATTACCGTGCTTTCAGCACCTCCGGCAACAGGCACGTAGATGAGATTGTACTGACGAACATCTCCATCTGCAGGGTCCCATCGCACTCTCAAAGAGTTTACAGTTGGGTCTGTCACCTGGAGGTTCTTCACACTTCCCAAAGGTTCTGCGTTAATAAAGCAGACATGATGAACCCTCATAAGACAATAATCCAGGATCCCTTATAGAGATAGATGAGTTCTTTATCCCAAAATTGCAAGTTACGAACATCTGGACTCACTTGTCTTTCCATTTTCTGACTGACGCTTTCCTTCCACGTCATTTTCATACATGGGCAACAATGTGACCTTGTACAGCGTGTTAGCATTGAGATTACGCAGGACGGTGCTTGTCGTGCCACCGGAAACTAGTTCCTGATCACAAAACACAAGAGATTTGGTTTTATAACGTGGAAGGTCCTTTATATAAACCATTAAAAGTTACTCAATCACATCATACCATCTTCTCAGCGTCTCCAGGCTGCGGGACATAGAAAACCTTGTAATTTCGAGGGTTTCCTGCAGCATGCTCCCATCGCACGTTTAGGGTGCTGCTGGTGGGATCGGTAACTTGAAGGTTGCGAACTCCACCCAGTGGTTCTGAAAAGCAGGAATACATGAACTTCAATACCTCAGTCATTGTTAACTCTTTCCCCACCAAACACTGAATTTTCTGTTATTTGTGGGAAAACACTTTCCCGCAAAACACAGAATTTTCAGTGTTTCCATGTTTTCACTGTTATACGGTAGGGGGCGCTATGACACATCTTCTGAAAGATTACTGAATCTCCTGATCAAAGCACATGCGAAGAGGAAGCAGAAACAAGCAATCTCAAATGTAATCATATGCATATGTAAAACAACGCAATCATCAACATTAAACAGCATATACCGGTAAATCAAAACTAATGTTACTGAATGAAATTTCGACCCATGACGAGCTACAGGACTTTGCAAGCATTAGAGGTGTTGATGGACTCGATCTACTCCATCTATGTTTTGATCATCGTTCTGAATCCGATCCAGATGTAGTCACCAGATGTAGTCTTTGAAGTGTTGCTTTTTTTAATGAAAGTTACCCATTTTCAAGGGTCTATTAAAAAAGAATGCATGAAGCTAGAATAAAACCGTTTGAGGGGTTTTAAAGCAGAGGGTCTGTTCTTTCTTTCGATATATGCCATGTTCAGATATTCATACAACTAAATATTCTGGGGGCCATGAAACTTTAGTGAAAATTATCAAAAACGCTGGTGGTGGCTGGCAACTTTTTAAAAAAAATCACCAGACATTTCAATTTGGTGGCCAAGATCATCCAAAGATGCACGACACTATATCTTCACCATGAACTCACTTGTTCTTCCATTTTCTGAAAGAGGTTTGCCCTCCATTTCGTGATATACTGGCACCAGAGTCACTGTGTAGGTCGTGTCAGGCTCCAAGTTCTTCAGAACAGTTGAGGTGGTTGTTCCAGACACTTGATCCTGCCCAAGCAAAATTAAAGGAATCAAGAAACAAAATACTGTTCAAGTTTTGCAGCAGACCTGTTAGAAACTCTTGAATGGATACATCAGTATAGAGTGTAGGGCTTGAACAGGTGTCATTTGTATAAAGAGCAATCATTTACAAGAATGCAATATTTTTTTCTTCTCAAAACTAAAGCACAATGACCAAAATGTCAATGTACATGGTAAGAGTGTATCAATGTGAAACTACATAGTTAAATTCTCTTTTTTGTTTTCCTTTGCTATTTCTGAAACATCCATGGAAATCACTCTCACCACTTCTTGATCTTGGCTACCGGCAGGAAGGTAAATGACAATGTATTCCCGCACACTGCCTTCTGCGGGCTCCCAGCGTACGTTCAAGGTGCTGATAGTTGGATCTGTAACCTGCAGGTTCCTCACGCTGCCCAAAGGTTCTAAGGAGACAACATAGGAGCTGACTCAACATTGACATTGTTTCCATGCATTCTTCAGATATATATATATGATTGCTTAGCATGACTGGTGTCATTTTGGAGTCACTTACTAGTCTTTTCCTTTTCTGAGAGTTGAGGTCCATCTCCTTCAGCATACACTGGCAAAACATTCACGGTGTACATTGTGTTTGGCATGAGTTTGCTCAACACTAATGTTGTGGTGCTCTCAGACACTTGTTCCTGAAAGAATATAGAAACTAGAGCTCAGAGCACTATATCAACTTCTCCAAACCCATTCCAACTAAGGAATCTTAGTTTGTTTTCATGACAATTGGTTGCACAAAGTCTATCCATCTAAACAGATATAGAAAATTAAACTTCTAAACTAAAAGAAAACTGAACACTCTCTTTGTAGCTTGCCAAACAAATCCGTTTCACAGTTTACTCCAGCTCCATCTAAACATTGGTGCTCCCAGTTGTAAACTTTCCCAGCAGGTTTTTTAGCATAATGAGACTTCAATTAGAGTTACATTGCACCACTCTCTCATCTTTGTTCCTCAAGGGAAGATAATATCTATATACGTCTGTCTGCAAACCATGTCACTAGATTTGAGAGAGATTTCCACTTATGACATCAACACTGTAGAAAGAAACTTTGAAATATTAAGTTATTCCTACAATGAGCTCAGTTCCTCCGTTAGTGGGCACGTATACCACTTTGTAGCCCTGCACATTCCCATCAGCAGCTTCCCATGTGGCAGTGAGTGTTGTGAAGGTGGGATCAATGAGACGGAGATTTCGAACACCTCCAAGAGGTACTAGAGTGAGATAGAAAATAATTTGTCAAATTATGCTTTGAAACAGCGCTGTTCCAAAAGCTATCGAGCTGCCTTGCTGTTGGCTGAGTTGCACATAGTACACACAAATATGAGGCTAAAAATAGACATTTTAACTGTACTGAACTATTTACATTGATACTTAATGAGCTTACTACAATTTTTTTTGCATTTTAAGACATTATAGGCACCTGTTTGGATAATTTTTTGTAAATAAAATGCTTAAAAATTTTTTTGTCAGCTCATTAAGTTTTGTAACAGAGATATCATGTTTGTCCATAGATAAAAAAAGCTACAAAGTTGATACACACATGTCTTTCCGTTCTCAGACTGGCGTCTGCCCTCTGTAGCGGGATACACTGGAACCACGGATACAATGTATGGAGTATCAGGCTGCAGGTTTCGTAGAACTATGGTTGTTTGGGCTCCAGGTATTTGTTCCTATTTACAACAAGGGGAAATGGACTTCAGTGAATTTCTAAAAACACATTTGTAATGTAGAATTTTAAGTATACATCATGGTAGTGTTTGTAGCAAAAACATTTTTTTATATGGAAATTTCAAATATTGTTGCATTGAGACATTGTCGTAATAATTAAATGGAAAAATGGACTTCTAAAATACATTTATAATGCACAATTTTAAGTACAAGTCATGGTAGAGTTTGTTGTATAAATAAATAAGTAAATCTTTTTTTATTCTGATAATAGCTGTGAGAGACAGAGCCCCACCATTGCCTCAGCTCCTCCAGCTGCAGGAACGAAGAAGATCTTGTACTGGCGCACGGCCCCGTCTGCGGGGTCCCATTTGACGTTCAAAGAGGTCATGGTTGGGTCGGTGACCCTCAGGTTCTTCACACCACCCAGAGCCCCTGCAAAGAAGATTTCCATTTTACTGTTTTGGCATCAGGAATATAAAGCATAATCCAGATCGCACTTCCAAACTGGATTTCTGTCATGTTCTCAAACAATTATAAATCACAAAATGGTGCAATATGCATGCTCACTCCTAAAAATAAAGGCTCTTCAATGTCTATTTGCAGCACATTGAGGTTAACAAAGAACTACTTCTTGGTAGTTTGTTGGCTGTATAGTTGCACATAAGAACCTTTGTTAGCTGTATAGTTGAACATAAGCTTATAATACTTTCTACGGGCAAAAGAACCGGACAGAAATATCTGAGGGAGCCGTTTAGTCACCTTTTTTTCATTCTTAATCAGTGAAAGCAAGATATTGATAGTAAGACACTGATGTTTCAAAGAGAAACTCACTTGTTTTTCCATTCTCGGACATTCTCTGGCCATCTCCCTCTGCGTAAACAGGAATTAAGGTCACGGTGTAAAGTGTGTCCGACTGAAGGCCTCTCAGAACTGTGGTGGTAGTGGTTCCTGATACCTGCTCCTGTTTCCATAATAGCACATGCAGTATAAGTCAAAGAAACATTGCAAATCACTTTCCCTTGAGATCTGCGAATCAATATTTATGATTAATCTGAACATCAAATTTGAGTTTATTTTTTATTTGATTCTAGAAGTCCTACCAGTCCTACCATGCTTTCGGCACCACCAGCTGCAGGTGCGTAGACAACCTTATACTCCTTCACTTTTCCTTCCGCTGGCTCCCAGCGAACGTTCAGTGTGGTCATGGTGGGGTTCACAACCTGTAGGTTTCTCACTCCTCCTAAGGCTTCTACAGGAACACCACACACAGAGTTACATAATGCCATCTAATTTTCATTGCATAACTTCTTGAACAGTCTCTACGTCTGACAAAACTCCAGATGTGAGTGAAAACCAAGATGCTTTATGGAATGGATCCTCCCTAAATGAGTTTATCATTGTTTTTGCTCAGCGGATGAAGTCATAAAATACTTCAGGACATTGAAAGGATTCTCCTGGAGCCACTTACTTGTTTTTCCTTGGCCGGAAATATCTTTACTTTCTCCAGTGCGATAGACGGCAGCCACGGTAATGGAATAAGGGGTGTCATGGTTCAGCTTCTGGAGAATGACACTGTTCTTTTTTCCACCAACTTGAACCTAATTGAAAAAGATGTCAATAGAAAGACTTGATTTGGTGTTCAATGAGAAAATATTTTGAATATGGTGCAACAGAAAAGAAACGGCCCATTTTGCTTCCATAATGTCAAGTACTTCCAACTAATTAATGGGGAAGAAATCGTAAAAAGTACCCTAAAATAATGCCTAGCTTGTTAAAGTAGCTAGTTAACTTCCTTTCACACACACAAACTCAAAAAAACACTCTCTTCATTTATCTTCTCTAGCTTGCTTGCTAATGTAGTTGTCTAATAAACCTGGCATTATACATTGCGAATATTGTTGGCTCTTTAAAAAACACTTTTGTTCCTCTTTTGCAAGTTGCTTTGGATAAAAGCATTTGTTACTGTGTGTAAATGCATAAATGTAATATGTAAGTACATTAACCAATAGCTCACATGGACAAGGTGTCTTCAGTAGCTGAAGATATAACATTTTGATGATTTTAAAGATTTTATATTTGCAGTGGAATAAAATGCAAGAAAATATTATGCACTAGCATGAATAAATCACTGAATAAATCAGTTTTTGTTGTGACCAGCATGCTGCATTAATAAATAAACTTGTGAAAGCGCCATTGTTCAGTTTTAATATTGTTAGCCAAAGAGTCCCTCAAACAAACAATACATGTTCTCTAGACTGTTCATCTCAAGCGCATTGACATTAACTACATAACAGTAATTGTTTTGTATCTTGATGGTAACTGAGGCCATATAACAGACATGTTGTGATGGTTTGCATCAGATCAGTCTGTTGGTAATGCTTTTCTGTCACAACGTTCCTATTTGGCTCTCAGCGGGCAGCTTGCTGTAATGATTAACACAAGGGCCTTGAACTTCATCAAATGGATTCTGCCACTCATCATCATAAGTAAAAGATGGCCTATGCCCTGCTTCAAAACATCTTAATGGAGGTTGAATGGGGACAGCTGAACTTACAGACAGCGGTTTTCCACCTGCAACGGTCTGGTAGGTGACTTTGTAGTTCTGGACGGGGCCTGGCGCGTGGTCCCATTTCACCGTTAGTGTTGTAGTGGTGGCGTTGAAGACCTGGAGGTTTTGTGGTGGTCCAGTGGGCACTGGGAGCAGACAGAAAGGTCAATCAGCTAAATCTGTCTTTTGAAACCGTAGATAAAACTATTAGGGATTGGGAATCATGAGAAATTTAACGATACTGGTTCTGATTGCACTTATTCTTTTAGGGTTTTTGAGGAGGAACACTCGAAAAACGGTTCCGAATTGTAAAATCAACAAAAACAGTAGGATTTTTTGGTAATATATTCTAATGTTTCTTTTATTTCAAAGCACATTATTTATAGTTTATTGCAAAAAAAAAATTTGTTTTTAACTAAACATATCTTATGAAGAACCAGTCAGCCAACCTAGTCACTCAACAACCACTCTGACAAATATGGCGAATCATTAAATTGATTCAAACTGATAACTCAGGTCGATTTTTAACTGCTTCATTAAAACGAATCAATTCCTTCACGAATAGAACCAAAGATCAAGAAAATCCTTCAGTTCTATTATTATTATTATTTAATTAAACCTTATTCTGTTTCTTATTGTTATTGATTCCCAACCCTTCTCATTATGCTGGTTAATCCTGAAAGGCGGATGGAGGAGGTGCATGGATGTTTGGGATGGAGAAATGATCATTTGCAACAAAAACAATGCAGTCGGGCAAGTTGTGCATGCGCGTTTATGACTGATGGCAGATGACAATGATGAAATAATTATACTGATGAAATGGCAATGATGAATGATGATGGACAAATGATGGTGGATGAGTTTCTGATGAAACACAAAAATGCACATGCAGTTTGTCATCTTCCTTTTTCATTAAAATGTTCATCATCCTCATTAGCATTTACATTCACAATTACATTTCCTCTTATTGGAAACAACATACCGGGTTTATTGAGCTTTGACACTAGAAAAAGATAAACAACATGTTATTTTATTGTAACGTCAACAGCTGTTAATGTGTTGGCTCTGAGTCTTGAGATATGTGACATGGGTAAAATATGGATATTTTGTACACCATACAACAGTCTAAATTCAAGTGAATACAAGGTTTGTTAATGTTTATAAAATGTAAAGTACTGTTCAAACGTTTGGGGTCTGTACAACTTTTGAAATATTTTATAAAGAGGTATCTTATGCTCACCAAGACTTCTTTTAATTGATCAAAATACAATAAAACAGTAATTTTGTGAAATATTGTTACAATTTAAAATTATTGTTTTCTATTTGAATATATTGTAAAACGTCATTTATATTTTCAGCATCATTACTCCAGTCTTCAGTGTCACATCATCCTTCAGAAATCATCCTTCAGCTGCTTAATATTTTTTTGGAGTCAGTGATACTTTTTTTAGGATTCTTTGATGAATAGAAAGTTCAAAAGAACAGCATTTATTTGAAACAGAAATATTTTGTAACATTATAAATGTCTTTAATATCCTTGCTTTTTATAGTATTCATTTCTTTAAAAAAAAAAAGGAAATAACCTTACTGACCCCAAACATTTGAACATTAGTGTATTTGACACATTATTATTGCAGGGGGGCGTCTCTTAGGGGGGAAAGAGGTACAGTGTGTAGAGGCATTTGGGAGGCCGGAGCACGATTTCTACATAGTGGGAAGCCACCTCCCTCACCCCCAAAACATACATTTGTTGAGACAAATAAACCAGGAGGTTGTACACAAGTAAACACCTCTGAACAGACTAATCTAAATGAATTCCTTTATACACAAACTGCTATTTAGGCAGGGTTTTTTGTGTGCCTATTTTTGTCCCAGTACACAAGAGTCAGTGTTCTACACGTGTGGTTGTGTGTTAGTCTCACATGTGCGTTGGCTCCCCATCAGATCCTCGCTCTCCGACTCATCGGCGTAGATGGCTGTGATAGTGACGTCATACATCGTGTCTGGGTCTAATTCTGTCAGAACTTGGCTCGTCTCCTCACGACTCAGGATATCCTATAAAAGAACAATTCTAGTGAGCCTCACAAGCTATTTGAGAGAGTTCATTAAATTTGTAATAAAAATGAAATTATGTTGTTTTAGATCAAAGGTACACTCTTAAAAATAAAGGTGCTGTATTGGCATCTATGGTTCCAAGAACCTTTAACATTCCATGTTTAGATTATTAAAATGTTCTTCATACAGAGATTTTTATTTTATTTTGAATAAATATAAATGTTGATGCAAATAACGAGCTGGCAAACGTACATTTTTGAATTTGTTCTCGCCCTTCTTGGTCCAACCGATGCGGTACAAAGCGACGTCTGGAGCTCCATGTTCCCATGTGACCTTGAATGAAGTCTGGTCCACCTCAGAAAACCTCAAGTTCTTGGGTGCAGGAACCACATCTGAATGTCAACAGAGAAAGTATGTGACATAGAAACTAGTGCTAACACTTGGACTGTGAACCATCAGATCTGACAAGCGAACGTGTTCCTGTGTAAAGGGAAGCGGGTTGTGTGTCAGCAAGAAAACTACAGACTTGCAGATCAGCTGAGACTGATGAAGGATATCACCCTTGGGACTGATAAAATAAAGCCATGAACACATACACATGGCTTGGGTAAGGGTGGCGTCACACATGGTAGTCATTATCTAGACGGGGAGCATGAAAGACCTGCTGAAATTGCAGGTCTTGTAGCCAGTAAGTCACATAGTTCAACACCAATGTAACAAACAAAATCCGGCAGCCGTGAAGTAAGTGCTGATGCCAAACCAACATCATCCGTCAAACGAGTCATCTTGGAGAATCAGTGAAGATTATAAGCTCACCAGTTATTGCACTGCCAAGCATGGGATTTCCTGGACCCTCGTCGTACACGGGAGTGACAGCAACATCATACTCCGTCTGAGAGCGGAGGTTGGTGAGAACCAGGGTGGTGATGTCACCGTTGACCTCAACCTGTCAAACACCAACGTCAGCGTTAACATTAACACACATCAAGGGAAATTAAATAACAGATGCTTTTGACAGACCAACTCGCCTCGGCACCATTCGTTACACATGGACTGAAATCTGCGTTGGTGCAACAGAGTGAAAACTGGGTGGTTTTTTGACCAGAACTAAAAAAATAAATAAATAAAGAATACACTACCAAACTAGATTTTCTGAGGACAATGCTTGCCTGTGCAAAACACCAACTGCTCAAAATCCTGGGGCGCAACTCACATTTTTTTCCATTAAATTGCATTATACAGTATTTGTCCTGAATCATTGTTGATCAACTCACTGACTTCACACTAGGCTTTTGTTAGATGCTTAGGCACAGCCTGGCTTTAAAACTTAAACTTAAACTTTTAAAACTTTTAAAACTTTTAAAACTTTAAAACTACATCTACAAATGCGCTATATAAATGAGGATGACTTGACTTGACTTGACTTGATTTTGTAAACTAACAACATACCTTTCCTAAGCCAGTCACATGAGTTGACGAATCATCCACGTCATACTCAAACCCTCTAAGTAGTATGATAAATATCAATAGTGATGTTTTGCCTTGTATGGATCCAAAGATGGATCCAGAGTTCAGCTTAGGTCATCTTAACCTCATTCCAGAGTTTGTCCAAGAAAAGATAAACAAGACAGTCTGCATCGTATCAACAATTTTGCTTGGACATGACCTTTTGGATCTCCTCACATAGTTCCACCGTTTCATCTCATTATATCTTCAAAGACTCCTTATGGTAAAAACAGCAGTACTTTGGAAATATCCATAAAGGCATCATTACAGAGAGACAGGAGAGCAAGCGGGGAGCCAATTACCAGAGGTGGTGTCCTCAGCGTAAACCCCTAGATTTTGTCCTACCATATGACTAGGATCAGTTTGTGAATACCTCAGAGAGAGGTTATAGGGGCTTTCAAAATGCAGGAAGTCCTAGCTAATGAACTCTTTCTATGGGAGACCCTCTTTTACAATAAACTCTGACCAAAAAGCTAAAGTTTCTCTTCATCTATCTCACATTCCCTGCACAGCTCAGCTCTATTTCCCAACTTAAGACCATCAATCATAGAACAAGACAGTCCATTAAACTACAATTAAAATCTCTTCATTCAAGCTGCAAGGATGCAAGGATTACAAATGATTAAGGATAGGAAATGTAACTACTAATTAGTTTAGTCCTACCTTCCATTAACTGAAATCAAACATCATTCTTTTTCAGAACTGGCATCTTTTTATTTATTTTATTGGAAATGGTTCTAAAAATGGTTCCTGAGTCCCAAATTATAAACGATGCATGGGACATTTTTGATATGTGGAATTTTTTATTACTAATCACTAAACTTAAACGCAGTGTGAATTACAGATTTTGATCACCTCTTTCAGCTCTCCGTCTTCTGGCTTGTAGGTGATGATGTACTTCCTGACGTTTCCAGGAGCTGCATCCCAGATTAGACGCATGGAGCTGTGAGTCACTTCTGAGATTCTCAACTCACCCGATGGAGGCAGAGGAACTAGAAGACATACGTCGATATTAATAAAAACATACAATAAATATTGGCAATAACAGATGGAAAGCATCTGAGGACAGACGTACGAGTGACTCCTCTGTCGATGAGGGCTTCGCTGGCCGTCGCTCCGTGTAGAGCGAACAAGGAGATTGAGTACGCCGTGTTCGGAAGCAGCTGCAATAACTGGACATCATTCACATCTGCACCAACTCGCATCTGCAGGAGAGAGGGATGTTAAGAAAATGGATATTTGCGAAGCAACGGCCCAGCGAGACAAGACTTGTTATGAGGAACACCTGGCATAAACACACTCCAGGTTAAGGTATGTCTCCTCCAGACTAAATCAGAGCACCCGGATCTCCTGGGATGATGGTTGTGACTTTTCCAAACTATATTATGTACGATTATGTACATGACTTCAGGGAGGAAATAGATCCAGAACAGGCAGCATTATCTCCTTTTTGCCAAAAGCTTGTGTTTTGGGCGAGTCTGAATTTTGTAGACCCCATAGAGGATGATTTTATTGCTCAGAGGCTTCTTTTTTATTGCTCAGGAGACTAAACTGAGTTTTCGACTAAGCCTAATTTAATTATCAACTTTGTCTCAGATGTCTTCTGAAATAAATTAAAGTTGACATACAATAAGACTATAGAGCTATAAAATGAATATGGATAGCAGATTAAATCATTTGGCCAAAAAAGGAATTTGATGAGAAATGACTTGAGTTAAAATTGATAGCAGACTTCTGTATCTTTGTAACTTGGAGATTACTTGGAAAAGACTTGGAGTCTTTTTTCCGATTGATAAAACCTAACTGAATATCCTTTATGTCAACTAAATTTAATGTTAGTTAAAAGAATTGAACTAAAAAGAAAATGAAAGAATTGAAACTTGTTTTTGTTAAATGAAAAATAAATAAAATAAAATGAAAAATTTGAAAACTAGAAATGTTGCCTTAGCAACTCACTGAAATAAAACAAATTTAAGTTGAAGTACTAAAATCACTAAAACTGAAATAAAAATGATTTTGAGCTAATTAGAAATATTTGTATAAACTAATAAAAATGACAAAAGCATATAACAATATTACTAAAACTTACATACTAAAATAACACTTTGTGCCAGAACATGGAATTAAAATAGTTTCACGTTGATCTCATTAGTGATTTATCTTTCCTATAGAACTGAACAGCAGTGTAAAACAGTTTCTCCTTGCTTTGACCATCTGGCTATGCTAAAGGAGCCGCTGGCAGAAGTGGGTTTACTCTGCCTTGAGGTCTAATAAAGCAGAGGTGGAAATTTTGAGAGATCGTCTGGAGGTTGTTCTGGAAGGCGTCAGTGTGACAGGCGCTCACCTCCAATTTTCCAGAGGGCACACTGGCGTTGATGGTGTTGTAGTTCAGCAAATACCCGCTGGCCCCGCCAACTAACTCCCATCTGACCCGCATGGACGTCCGGGCCTCGTCGTACACAGTCATACTGGTAACAGCAGGTAGGGGCACTGTGAAAAAAGATTCAAATGATCTAATCTATCTTTGAAGCACATTCAAAACAGCTTTATAAGAATGAAAAAGAACAATAAAAAGTTGTGATTTCTCATTAACAGTCATGTTTTGGTCACATTAAATGACCATAAAGCTAAAGCCACAATGACCACGGCAGATTATTGCATCCAAGTGGCTCATGACAAGACGATAAGCCTCTCTTTACGATGGGATAAGGTCTCGTAATGTTGATCATAAACATTATAGTGAGAAATGTTTAAAAAGACTTAAGCAAACTATAAAGCGAGAATAGCCAATTAAGATGTTCTGTTTACTTTAAATCTGTAAAAAAAATTATTCAAGTTTACTTTGTCCATCTATAAGACCAAAACTAAGCTGTTGACAAGGGGCCACTTCACAGATTTCACAGCTGCTTTATATTTGTGATGTGTAAACCAGCATTAAAACTGTGTTATATAGGAGCTGCAGTGTTTCTTTGAGGTTTCATAATGGCTCTGCTCCAACAATGAACTGCCTACCTACTGTAGACACATTTTCAGGCACCATTAGTGCGCTCCCAACACATCGAATGTTCTTTAACTTAAATGATCTTTTGTTTAGGCCAAATTTTTGCATGTATTTTTGTGGATAAGGCATTGTGACAAGCCTGGCCATTAAAAAATTGGTGGGATATTCCAGATATAAATAGAACAGGATTTACTTGCAAAATTTACATAAGAAAATGTGAGTGGTATTTGCTCATGCAAATCATGTTGCTAGGGTGTTGCTAAGGTATTCTGGGTGGTTGCTAGGTGGCTAGAGTTTCACATTCAATTTTCCACTGCAAAAAGTAGCTGCCTTATGTAGACAAAGTTGTGAAAATAGCAGCAGTATGCAGGGAAACAGCTGTTTCCAGTGGTTGAGATAAAGATATAGTTTATGAAGTGAGTTTAATCAGACAATGAGATTGAACAGTAGGAGAATTAGTGTGATTCACATAAACAGAAGGAGAGGTTTTGATCTGCTCAACTTACATGTGGTTTCGGTTCCTTTCAAAGGCTCGCTGCTCTCCTCACCAATCACTGAATAGACATTGATAACATACTCGGTCATGGGGGTCAAGTTGACCAGGACAACTGTGTTTTCTTCACCATCAGCGAACATCTGAAAAACATCATCAGGGAGAGGTGAGAGGGGTATTACACAAGATGGAGGGGTGGAACGGGGAGGCATGTGGCCATCTGAAATCATCTCTCTTAAGTTGCAGGTTCTTAGAGGTCGAAATTCAGCACGCGAACACGCAGGGTATGTTGTGAGATTTATGGGATCTAGTTCAGCCCATACTGATACATGAAACTTTTAAGCCATATAGATCATCACAAATGCACACAGTGTATATGGTAAAATAAAATATGACAAGGTGCATAGCTTTGAATTAATGTTATATGAAAGTTGTCCTGTTTTATTGAAGTCATTAAGGTTACACAAGAGGTATGTAGAGATATGGAAATTAAATGTGAATGTTGCTCTTCATCAAACTTGACTTTTATAGCAAGCACGCAATGGGCACCATAATAAATCAATGATAGGCACATATAAATTCTGTTCCATAAGTTAGTCTTACCTAGACAGAATCATAGATATACTCCCAATGCAAAAGATGCTCAAAAACGTAAGTAGGAAAATTAGACTACTTCAAAGACACATTGTTTGGGCAAATTTTGAAGGCAGCGTTGTGAAAATGAAATCCCAGAATTTATTTCAACAAGCTTAGTATAGAACCGATTGCAATGCAGATTTTCAATACGAAAAACTAAAACATAAAACTAATTTTAAAAATGTATTTAAATATTTGTGTTATATATTTGTATTCCTATTAGTGTTGTGAAATTAAAGGTATAGTTCACCCGAAAATAAATTTAAATTCTGTCATCATTTACTCACCCTCATGTTTGTTCCAAACCTGTATCAATTTATTTCTTCTGTTGAACATAATAGAAGATATTTTGAAGAATGTTAGTAATCAAACGGTTGACGGTTATCGTTGACTTCCATAGTAGGAAAAAAAAAATACTATGGAAGTCAATGGCTACCGTCAACTCTGGTTACCAACATTCTTCAAAATATTTTATTTTGTGTTTAACAGAAAAATGAAACTCATTCAGCTTTGGAACAACATGAGGGTGAGTAAATGATGACAAAATTAAAAATGTTGGGTGAACTATCCCTTTAACTTAGCAACATGCTAATGTCAAACTCTATGTGAGTATTTGTGTGTTGCTGCCTATTTAGAGCGTTTCATAAGAGTAAAACCTTTTATTCAAAACTAAGAGGTTTGTTTGATGGTTAGGAGGTTGCAATATAAGGCAGCTCCCTCGGTTTTGGAACAGAGCTACAGTATCAAGTTTTGCACAAGATGCAGGAGAATGTAGGCTAATAAAAGAAAGTGCAATAACTTTCAGAAGCTCAAAGTCTGTGAAGTATCTACCATGCATGCATTTGTCCATTTGAACACAATATATGTGTTTTTAATAGGGATGGGGCCGATCCGATCCAGTATCGGTATCGGGACCGATACCCGCGTAATTCACGTATCGGATTTTCCCGATCCAACCTGCGGAGATATCCGATATCCATGAACCATGTCTGCGCTTTAACGTAGTCTGCTGAAACGACTCCAAAAGTGATTCCCGCGGCCCGCCGGCTAGTCTGCTAGCTGGCTGCAAACTGTGGAATGGATATCCTGAACGGAGGCACGGCTCAATGAGACACAGAGACCCCCCTCCCCCTCAGGAAATCCATTCCGCAGTTTGCAGCCAGCTAGCAGGATAGCTTTGAGCTGCCAACATTTTCGCTGTGTGGAAATCCTATGGTGGAAATACTTCACTCTGGAAACACCGCAGCAGAGCAAGACAGCAAAATGCAATGTTTGCAAAGCCGTATTAATTAAACCATTTGTCTGTGATGCATGTTTGCTATTCGCAGTCCAGAAGAGAAAGAGAGAGATCTCTCACGCGGTGCCACAGCGCGCACAACACGACAGCCCATCAGCATGATCGGTGATTGTTGTAAAATGCAGTCTCTACTGTTGCTAAATTGCGGGACGCTTTTAATAATAAAAAAGCTATTAAAAGCACAAAAATCTGCGCAAGAGAAGCTGTTCCCGCGTCGCGCGCTCCGAAACAGACCGCAACGAGACAAGCACATTATACTTTGGGCTTCATATGCACGTCTAAACGATCAAATGTAGCCTACACAAAAATGTCAAAATGACCGGCTTGGAGATTCACTTAAACAGTTTGTCTAAAATGGACGTAGTTATGGAAATAGTTGGGAGAAAATATGGTGCACTCGTTCTTAAAGGGGAAGCAGTCTAATAAACATACTGACGATTGCTCCATTACTGAGAATCAAACAACAAAAGGCAAAGAGAAAATCACTCACAGCTCTTGAATGAATAACTTTAGCTTTAATAAGCATAAATCTATCTATGATAAACTTTGCAGTGCTATTTTACTTTTGATTACTTTATTATAATTATTTTTAGACCATACCTGAATAATGTTAGTAGACCTTCCTGAAATTAAAGCACTGTGTAGGCCTGCATAATGTGTATCTTTGTTTAATTGTCTATCTTTTGTTTATCTATTTAATATATATATATATATATATTGACATACATGCATACATACGTACATATCATACTTGCCTGTAGAGAGGAGTTTATTTCAGCATCATATAAAATCAACAATAATGATAATAATAATATTAAAGCAAACACAGCTCTGGTATCGGAAAAGTATCGGTATCGGCCGATATCCAAATTCAGGTATCGGGATCGGATCGGAAGTGAAAAAATGTGGATCGGTGCATCCCTAGTTTTTAATGCTCACCACTTCAGTATTTCCTCCAGCGGCGGGGACGTACTCGATGCGAAACTTCTCCACTGGCTCGTCAGGTGGCATCCAGGTCGCACGGAAAGAGTAGTGTGTGACCTCGGAAGTCACAAGGTCAGTGGGTGTCCCTGGGCCGCCGCCTGGTTCATTGAAAGCAATGGAAAAATGTGAGCCGTGGTGTCAAACAGCTCTCAAACAGATTTACACTTAGACTATAAATCTTCCTCAGGCCTATTAGCTTCTTGCAAAAGGTTAAATGGGTTATATATCACAAGTTTCATGGTTCTGTAAATCACTGCTATCCCCCAAGGAGGATCGGAGTGCAACCTACAGTTTTCCCTCTCAGTCTTTTCAGCAAGATTATTAGTAAAACAAAAACAAAGAACCGTCTGGGAAAACAAGAGTGCAAATCAAAAATGGATGGCACAAGTTCAAGCAGTTTTAGCCGAGCCAAACTTTGGAAGTTCTTGGTTTTTTTTATTTCTAGTCTGCAGAACAGAACTAGGATAGATTTGTTTAGATTCACAGATTGTTTTTCAGTCAAAACAAACACTAGTCAAGACTGTGACTGACTGTACCTGGGCCTTTAACACTGTTGCAGAGGTTAACAGTGAGGTCGTCCACAATGTCCAACAGGAAGGAGAAGTCGTTGACATTGAACATGTGAATATCATCAGGGTCGGTGGCAATGGATCGCAACTCATTTTCATCTGCATTCTTCACACCTAGAAGCCAAGAGGAGATCATTATTGAAAGATCGCAATTACTTCAGCTGGGTCAAAGAGACATTGATCAAGCTGTAGTCTTGCCAAATAAAAAGCTGTGAGATGTTTGGACACAGGAGAGCTCTGGGTTGAGTATCCATCACTGGCATGCAAACTATTGTAGTAAATTGTGACTGAATAGATAGTATGTCAGCAATGTCAAGAAGAGAAGAACTTACCGATGGCATAGAGCTCAATGCCAGAGTCACGCAGTTTCTGAGAATTCACTACAATCTCGTCCTGAGATTTGCCGTCGGTAACAAGGACACCAATCTTACGAGAATCGGGTCTCATACCCACATTTGCCTTGAAGTTGTTCTGGAGGATGTAGTTCAAGGCCATACCTTTGGAAACACATTAAGTTGCATGTTGGTTTCGTAACAGTCAATGGTGAACTGTCACCTTATTTTATTAGATCTATTGCATTTCTCTATTAGAAATGGCTGTTGTGGATTCATGCATTTCTTATCTGTCTGTATTCTATGTGCAAATCACTTCTGAAACTGATTTAAAGGTGAAGTGTGTAATTTTGGCATTAAAAGAAGCAACATTCTTAATTTTTTGTGCTAAATATGCATATACATACAAATATGTAAGTAGTTTGTGAGCTTGGGCAGATTGACTATCATGTCATTGGCAGGTGCTAAAGTGTTCTTTTGGTGTAATTTGCTAGTTTTGATTCTCTGATTGGAGGAGATTTCTTTGCAGAATCATAGGTAATGTAAATTTTCACCAGGAAATCTGCTGTTAAACACAATTAAAAAAAGAAAAATTAAAAACAATTTAGACTGATGGCTTCAACAAAACCATATAGTTTTAAACAGCAACCCCACAGCTCAAAGTAGGTCACGCTATTATTTTTTCCATGAACTTGTGTCACAGTGCTAAAAAATGGGAGAGAGAGACACACATTCGGACAAACTCTCGTACATGCCAACAACAACATCCTAAATTAAAGACTAAACAGATAATAGGCTATAGGTTAACACCACCCGATATTCCAACGCTATCTCACGACCAATTCGTACGAATTCGTACAAATGTAAATTTTCACCAGAGTGTAAATTTTCACCAGGAAATCTGCTGTTACACAATTAAAAAAAGAAAAATTAAAAAAAATTTAGACTGATGGCTTCAACAAAACCATATAGTTTTAAACAGCAACTCCACAGCTCAAAGTAGGTCTGTCTTTAAATGTTTATTATAAGTTATCTTTTAAAAATTAATTCCATATGGAGAAAATTCATACGATTTTTACAGATAGCACACTATAATGTTTTTTTGCAATTGCCACTAGAGGTGCATAAATGACACGCAACACCTTTAAATGTTGTTTTCAGGGATTTAGATAAACAGATAAGAGTGCATCTTCAAGACTGTAAATTATAAAGCACTTATTTAAGAGCTCGGTACCCGTCATTGTATTTCCGCCTTTGTAGGGTAAGTTGGCAACAGCATCCTGCAGAGATTGACGGGTTGCATGAGCGTTCAAATGCCACTCAGTTTTGGGGTCCCCGCTGTACTGAGCCAAACCTGTGAGAGAAGCACACGCCATTATGAATGCAAGAGTAAAGGTTCCTGTTAATAACTCAATAAGGAGCTCTGCATAAAGCTCACATCTGGAGTCCAGATGCAGGAATATACCTTCAACATATCTAAAAACATGATGTAAACAGAAGTAGGGAAGACTTGCCGATTTGAACCCTGTCAGGGCCGATGTCAAAGACGCCCACCATGCGACCAATAAAAGCCCGGATGGTTTTGAAGTTCAAACGGCCGATACTCCAGGATCCATCAACCAGCAGGACGATATCAGCCTTGGCTGTGGTTTTACACTGAGCATCTGTGAGTAAAACACACCAGAGTTATACAGTGAGAAACGCCAAGAGGAGCTGAGATGTGATTGTATTTTCGCTGATGGCAGGCAGAGTTCAACGAGAGAGTGATGAGAAACGGGGAAGAGACGTGTACACATGCTCACAGCAAATAAAAAGGCACATTTACACCGCAATAACTTCAAAACATCACAATTTTAGATAAGACTTTTATTTCTCTGTAATTTCTAGGAGCTACAGACTCTTTCCATTCAATTTCTACTTTTCTCCTTTGAATCTTCAGTCTTGCATTGTATCCAAATCCCCTTTGGCACCTGGCCCTGGAGGGAGTTTTCCTGGAATTGTCATTGCTTCTGTTCTACAGAGAAAAGAAGTAGCCCTTTGTGATGCATGAAATACGAGCTTCATCTCTTTTGCGCATTCCACATCGGTAGAACGTGTGGAGCTCCAGATACCTATAGAGGGTGAGAAGAGCCTCAAAACTGAGGCTAGAGCACTGGTGATCTCACTGGACACCATCACACATGGTCTGCAAGTGAGAAATATCTTGTGAAATTGATTATTTACACACATATGCTCATACATTAAAGATATATAAAAATGAGGCACCAGTTGATTGTACTTAGTTTTAACATGGTTTCTAGCTGGTCCAGGAGGTTTCAACCTGTAAACCATTTTGGTTTAAAAAAAAACAAAACAATTGGCTTAAAAATAACATATAAAATATTAATAATAAAAAAAAATGTTCAAAAAACACCATGACCACCATAAGCTGGTATGATCCATTATACCACTGTTAGTTTAGTCTGAAAAAACACTGGCAGACAGCGATGGAGAGCAAAGAAACATAAACTTTCCTAAACTTGTGCTATTCTGTGACCTTCTCTCTCTCCTCAATGAAATAGTGCCTAACTGAAAACAGAGCATTTTTTCCATGAACTTGTGTCACAGTGCTAAAAAATGGGAGAGAGAGACAAACATTCGGACAAACTCTCGTACATGCCAACAACAACATCCTAAATTAAAGACTAAACAGATAATAGGCTATAGGTTAACACCACCCGATATTCCAACGCTATCTCACGACCAATTCGTACGAATTCGTACGAGTGATTAAAAGGTGGCTAATTCGTACTAATTCATACGACCTCACTCGTACGAATTTGTACGATTTGTCTAAACCCACGTGATGGGTAGGTTTAGGGGCGGGGTCAGGGGTAGGTCATTCGTACGAATTCATACGAATTTGGTAACTCGTAAAATATGTACGAATTAGCAAAAATCGTACGAATTTGTACGAGTGAGGTCGAATGAATTAGTACGAATTAGCCACCTCGTAAAATTCGTACGAATTGCCGTGAGATCGGGCTGGATATTCTGTATGACCTAGATGTGGTCTGCTGAAAAGGAAAGTGATTTTAGAAACTTGTTGCATTTTGATGAACTATTCTAGACATTTTTTTCCTTTGGAATGTTTAATTTTCTGATAAACCATGTAATAATGTAACAAGTATAAGGAACATAAACAGGGTTAATTTTGATTATATGTTGAACCTTGCAGACATCCTTCTTGACCAGACCAGTGGTTTGGGGTAGTTTGCAGTGACACATGTGGAAAACTGCTCTCACGTGACCTTTGCTGTGGTCGTTTCACGACTAAACTCCTGCAGCACACTCCCATCATCCTCGCTGCATCTGCTGCTTAACTCCTCACTGCTGTACAACTTCACCTCTGGAAAGTCTTTCACGTTAAGACTACACTCTCAAGTCTTTAAACTGCCGGCCAGTAGCTGCCAGAATCTAACTCAAGACACTGTTGCTGCCAAAGGCTTTGAGCCCACAACTTCAAACCATACGCTTGATCTCGCCATAAAAACAGTCTATTTGTACACTTTTCTTCATCAGAACAATCCCATTCAATTATTTTAAATCTAATCTGAAAGACACTTCTTAAAGAATCTAGAAGTTACATGATAACATTTGGTGGCATGTCATCATAACAGAAATAAAATTGTTTGTTTTTTATTTTTAACCCGATTTTGTGTCAGTACATTTAAAATAATTTATCAATAATTTGTACATTAGAAATGGAAGGTGAAGGTGAATTGTGAGATACAGTATTCTTAGACAATAATAATCTGAATATATTTATAATAATATTATACTTTTTATTTTTATTATAATTATTATAATTATTTTTTTTATATATAATAATAATAATAATAATAGTAATGTATTTTATTAATATATTATTAACATATTTTATTATCCTTAATATTACTAATTTTTATTTGCTACATATTTGCATTTTATATTAATCATCTTATTTACTATAACATTGTTTATATTATTTAGAATATTTATACTGTACTAATAAATCTCACCTCATTGACTCGATTCTGCTTTAATGGCTCATCTTGATTCATATGATGCTGTATTGCAATCATTCTTCCTGTTTTTTTTTTTTTGTAGTTCTTGAGGCCTAACCTAAGCACTTCAACAGAAAGTGCATGCTAAGAACATACTATAAACACGATGTCTTAGAATGATGTGCTGAGATTATACCGGAGAAGTCAACAGGTGTTTCGTTGATAGGTGTATCAGAAAGGGTGGTCTTCTCCTCCCCGGCCAACGGCATACTTTGACCTCCATCAAACATGCCAAAAACAGCCACGGAGTATTTAGTTCCAGCTCTGTGAAAGAAGAATGAAACTGAAACCATATGTGCCATCTTAAAACAAGAAGTATGATTAGCATCATTGCATTGAGAAAAGCATCTAAAGTTGATGCTAAACATTACCTGAGTTCCTCTAAAACAATCGTGTTGTCGTATGGTCCAACAAGAAGTTCTCCTAGATCAATATCATTTCCGCTGGGATGGAAAGTGACTTTGTACCCTCGTACATCACCGGGAGCCGGGTCCCAGGACACACGGAAACTGGTTTTGGTGGGTTCAGAGGTCTGTAGGTTTCTTGGGGCTTTATATGGTGACACTGTAGGATGAAGAGAAGGCGGCGATATCAGCACATGCTAACACAATCCAGCTACAAAATACCGCAAAAACACTGCAATCACTATGGGCATACTTTACTTTGTATTTCATACTGTCAAATTCTATGCAACTAGATTTGTATATTTTCTAAGTAAATAGTATGTGACTTGAACGATGCTAAGGTGCTCTGGGTGGTTGTCAGGGAAATGCTATGCAGTTGCGTAGGTGTTTAGTGTTATTTTAACACTTCGCTACGCAGTTGCTTGGGTGGTTGATTACTGGACCAAGCCAAAAGTCCAAATATTGTGATATCCTGGTCTATTGATATAGTCCCTCTTTAAATGTAAATCTATGTGTTTTTTGTCCATTTTATCGTTCATGAGGTGAAAATCTTGTTTGACCACAATGTGGAACAATTTGAAAGAATCATTCATGTAAAGTGTCATTTAACACTTTAAGTTTAGGCCTTTGTTCCAATTCATAACCCTACACTGGGAAAAACAAAGTTCTTCCTCAGTGTTTTTGTCTTTCTAGTACAAATATGTAGCCATTCTTAAATCAAGACACATTTACATGAGAAGCTAAATGTTATTAAGTCTTGTTTTCTAAAACATCTAAATAAAGTGAGCTTTTGGTTAAAACAAGGCAAAATATCTTGTTTTCCCTTTGAATTAAGTTGATTTTTCTGACCCTATTGGCAGATATTTTTCTTGTTTTAAACTTAAACTTCAGTCATTTTACTTCTCAAATCTTGATTTAAGAACTTTTAGACACTTGTACTGGAAAACTGTACTGTACTGAGGAATAGCATAATTTTTTCCAGTGTTAAGTGGTGATGTGTGCCTGTGTCTGTACATATCTGTGACTCATGGGCTTTGAATTGCTGGCCAACGTACGTGTGGTTCCTACTCCTTGCCTTGCTTTTCCTTCTCCTCGTTTGTAAATGGGATGCACGGTGATGAGGTAGGTGGTCAGGGGCTGCAGTTTTCTCAGCATGGTGGTGGTGATGTTGGCTGGGATCTTCATCGTCATCTCTTTACCGCTGACCTGAGAGACGTAAGTGAGTTTGTAGCTGACCACGGGGCCTGGAGCGGCTTTCCATGTCACACGCATGGTTCGTTCGGTTTCATCAAACACCACTAAAGCCTTGGCAGATGCAGATGCTACAAACAGACAAAACAGACAAGAACATTTGACTGAAATTCTACTAGACATTCCCCAACGGCCTGGATAAATCAAAAACGGACAAATTAAATAAAAACAGACAAGCAGAGATGGTTCGAGGTAAACGTGAAACCACAAGTGAGGCAAAAGAAAGCAAAGCAATTTCCAATACTTTTTCAATCCCCACACTGGTGTTAAGTTTCCACAAGTTTGTATGGGTAGGGAAAACGCATCCACGCTTCAGCCAGCATCCCAGTCGACATACGGCTTATATTATGGCTGCCCTGCACACATGCAACCCTTTAAATCTGCTCTTTCCCGCAGTGGTGATGTTCACTGCACCCGTGCTTCGATCAGCTCACTTTTTCCACCCGGAGGCAAGTGACTACTGCACAGAAACTCAAAACTCACTGTACTCGCCAAGATTTGGTGCCAAGCGCAAAACCACAACTTGAAGAAGTCACGCTAACTTTCAATAATTTTTTCGACTAGCTAAAATTCAAAAGTTTCTTTCTTTTTCCATTCTTTTCCTTCGATCAAACTGAGTACCACAGACTACAGTAAAAGGTTGTCGATTGATGCACTTTGAATGGTTGAGCCCGAGGCAAAGGCGTGCATGTCCTGTCAGGTCTGTATAACCCTAGGAATCATCTTTCTTTCTTAGAGGATGATCGCTAGATTTAAAGATAACCATAACCCTAATCCAACCCAACCTAACCTCCAGCTTCCTTCAAAGCGTCAATCATCTCAAAGTGTATAATTGGGTTCTATTAACACTATTAAATTTTCCAAATCTTTTACAGTCATTGGAGAACCTTTTTAAATGACCATGATATGATTAAACAAACTTTTTAGGTTCCAAAATCATATACAGTATGAACTCTTGAACCAATTTGTTTATCTGAAGAACCTTAACATCAACAAATGTTTTAATTTATAATTAGAGTTAACATTTTTAACAATTATTTACTATTATTATCAATATTATTATAAATTATAATTATAAAACATTAAGACAGAAGTACATTACTATTGAAATTATACTTTAAAGGAGAAAATAATCATTTAATTTGACACCGTTACAATGTTCTTAAATTCTTCACTTAAAGCGTCTAGTTTTTATTTTTGCGGAAACTGGAGGTAAACATTTAAGTCTCTGTTTCATTGACAACTAGTTTATAAACGCTTCTTCTTACAAATCTGGTAAACCGCTTGAAACTTGATGATGCTGAAAAAATATTGGAAATTGAACACAGTGCCAAGCTTTACTCTGAAACATGCAGCGCATTAAACTTAATTGCAGCCTTTTGAAATTCGATAATCGTTCTGAGCCGAATTGCAATTTAAATTGTATTTTATATAGATTGATTGTGCAGACCTACTTATTTATTGTAATACTGCAGTTCCCTCACGAACCCCCATTTGGGAAACCCTGATTTAGAGAATATGGGATTACTACAATAACAAAAATAACATTTAAAACATACCATCAGTGGTCTCCTCTCCCACAAGTGGTTCTCCGCTGCCGCTGTCATACAATGCGAACACAGACACCTGGTAGCGTGTTTCAGGGGTGAGGTTCTCCAACAGTGTGCTGGTCACATCTCCAGGCACCAGTTTCTCCCCAGACTCCCCAGAGAACAGAGACCTCCATCGAACACGATACTGCCTCACTCTTCCTGGAGCGGCCGTCCATGACGCCATGAAGCTGGAGTCGGTCACATCACTGGTTATCAAGTCTCTCGGTGAACCCAATTCTGCAGCCAAAAAAAAAAAAAAACTAACCTTAATATAATCAATTTCTGAGTGGATAAAGTTGGAAGTTCCAAAGTGGAAGTTTGCTGCAATTTTTGATTTAGCAAATGCCATAAATTTGAGCAATGCCATAAATGGTGGATTGTCACTGTAATAATTGTGCAGTTTCTTTGGATAAAATGACTACTTACTCACAGAAAAAAAGATTTATAAGCAAGAATAAGATTTCATGCCAAACTGGATTTCAGCAGAATCACCCTGGGCCATAGTCTGTGATATATTTCCAGAAGCAAACGGGCCATTTCTCATGATGTCTCTGGTGTCACTGGTGCAGGTGTGTCACGGCTGCAATGAGCACTAATTCATTCAGACGAAACTAAACTTAGCAGTTGGTAATAAAGCATAAAGTCAACACACACTCTCACACACACACACCTTGCAAAACCAACCGCACAGGGAGTCCAAAAATTGTTTTGAAATTTGTATTAAATACATTTTTTAGTTTTAGTTAATTTAGTACATTAGGCTAAAGTAAATAAAAAAGTAATTCTACTTTGGCAACTAGCCGAAATGTATATATACATATGTTTTCTTGTGCTTATACACATGAAAAATATACACTGTTTTAAATCATTGCAAGATACTGAGACTATGGAGGAGAAGCAGAGAAGCGAACGCTTGCCAACTTATTTTTTTTTTTTTCAAAACAAGGCAAATCCCCATAAAACCACCATAAAGGGCTCTCAGATGTCTGATACCTTCTCAAATCCCGAGTCATTCTTCATCCCTCTATCCTTGACTTTTCACCCCCTCCCGTTCTGTCTCATCCTAGCCCGACACGATTATAAGTCCCCACAATTTTCACAAATTGGAAACAGTGCATCTTGTTGAACAATGTGACTTCTAACATCTTTTCTCAACATGTGAGTTTTTATGCAGCCCAACAGCAGGATTTTATTTGACTTTGTCTTTAAAAGAGCCTTGAAATTCAAATGATCTTTTATATCCATTTAAAGATTCAATTCCATTCAAATAGCCAATCCAGCATCCCATGCTGCTCCGAAATCCAAAGCCGAGACAGGCCATACACATGCAGTAAATTTTCCGCAGTGTTTTTGAAGTTTAACCTCGTGTCAATCACCGGGAAAGCGCAGGTGCTGAAAGAGCTTTCGGTTGTCCCCTTCATCTGTTCTTTACGTACATCTCCGGGTTCATGAGCCGGACAGCGAGACCAGCTTGAATGCATTACGCGCCTTGACAGATGGCAAACAGGAAGAACAATCCTCCTCTGAGGATACCCATGTGCTGGAGTACAAAGACATCTTTTGGCCCGTTTGTATCTAGCTGATTAAGTCTTTATTTTAAATTAATATCCATGTGTATAATATCCTGCTATGTAATCAGTCTCACTTCAATTGACCAAGTGCTACTCTAACGAGAATATAATACAGAATAAATCCCTTTGAAAGCGATCTAAAGTGCAAGGCAGGTAACGCGTTCCACATGCGTGCACTTTTGCGTTTACATTATGATACCTCGTGTCTCTTGATTCTCCTTTGTATATATGCATATGGGATAATTTTGTTTAATTTTTCAATCTACTGTTGGATAGTGAAACAAAACAGCTGATTTTAGTTTCACGGTTTTTAGCCAGACACTTTCAGAGCAACGGATTTAACAGACTCAAGACCATCACTTTGCACACAGCTTAAATTATTATGAAGAAAAACAATTCTTTTTAAATGTTTATGTTACGATAATTGAAATGTCACACTGTAGAACCACAATGGGTTGCAAATTCTTTACATGCTGACTTTAAAATATAACAATTCTTTAGTTCAGAATTGCTTAAAAGCTACAACAAAAATAACATAATTTAACTATTATAACGTCACATTCTCACGTAGCATTTCGCTTTTTTTTTCCTACAGAAAGTTTAAAGGTCTTCTCAGTGATTTGCTGGAAATCATCTTTTTTGCAGTAATTGAACCTGTTGAAGAATTGCTGGACACAAACAAGTAAATGATTAGCTACGACATTGTAAAATTACCTCAAAATGTACATAGCATCTGGGACTGAATCTCTGCTCTACAAATGGACACACTAGGTCATAAACTGGACCAGAGCCCGGTCAATACACCTGCATCAGATTGGGGACAGAACGGAAATCTTTTGTGCTCTGCCTTATGCATATCCTCCTGAGGACGCAAAGGAAGGAACAGAGATGTCTGGGTAACTGCTCTACTCCTTTGTTCCGGAGTGGGACGGAGGTGCATAGTTCCTGCATTATGTAATTTTGTGCAATTGAGAACTTAATTTAGCCCAGCTCCCACCGACTGAGTCTCAATGGATGGATGGAGGAACTGAAATTACCATCTCACATGTTCAATGACATGTTCAATGTCAGTCCATATTCAAGCCACAATGCTACGCTCCTCACAGATCATATTTTGAGAACAGGGACTTCTGTGTGCTAGAGGAATGGTCCACAGTTTATGATTTAACCCTGAACTAAACTTGAACTTCACTATGATGCACCAGGCCAAATCTCTAGCTTACCAAATGCAAACCCTCATTACACACCCTTAATCTCACTTAAAGAAACATTCACCCAAAAATTCTGACATCATTTACTTCTTGTTCTTCCAAACCCATAAATCTCTTCACAAATTACAAAAAGCACCACTTGTGTACTATATTCCAAGTCTTCAGAAGCTCGTCTTTTTCAGTCATGTGACTTTTTTTTCCTCATCCACCATATGTATGACCATCAGCTAGGCAAAGTAATGGCGGTGAATACCAAAACATATGATAAGAGATACCATTTTATTTGATCCATACCAGGTCTACATTACTGAAACAGATGAATATAGCTAATGGCAGATATAATATAGCTTTAGAATTATATAGAGCATGATTCATTTGGACAACCTTTATGGTACTTTACTCAATTTCGGTCACAATATGTTTTCAGTGCATGGACAAAAAATACTCTTGACATCTCAGAGTACTTCTTTTATTCTCCATGATGACAGAATTTTTATTTTTGGATGGTTTTCCATCACTCAAATCTTACTCTTTCTGGGCTCTAATCTTTGGCCCTCAAATCTGACACTGCAGATTCTGTGACATAAGATTACCGGAATTCAGTGATTTAAGGTCTTGGGCAAGCTTTGCTTCTGGTAATTTCATTAGAGTACACTGTAGCCATGTTACTGTAGCTTAAGATTCGTTCCTCTGAAACCCCATGAGACCTGTGAGCTGTTTATCTGGGCTGAAGGAAAGAAAGAGCATTATAATCACTTGACTCAGTTCAACCTATTTGTTTATCCTTTCTGACAGGGGCTGAGGATGTTAAAAATGCCCTTGTCCTTCCAAGGCTGTACTTTCTCAAATTATTACAAAAATTAACCTCAGATCTTATGCTGCAATGCACTCACAGGGACTTTCATTGGGCACCTTTTGCATTTACACAAACAATATATAATTACAACAACTCCACATTTGAGTGGACTTTTTTCTTCTTATGGAGAAATGGGATATGTCTGGGATATATTCTTTGGTTCTCAGAAGCCTTAGTGCTAATGTTATTTTACAGATGCCTTTAAAGCAACACCAAGTAACTTTTCCTCTGTGGTCACCGACAGGTTGGAAGCGGAATTGTCCATTACCGCTGTTGTAAATAATTTAGCCTAACGCAGCCTACTGTCCCACACACGCTCGCTGTTTATCCAGCACCCGCTTTGGGATGAACGATGTCCACAGACAAGGTAGAGTATGTTGCATGATTTCATGAAAGTATGATGTATTGCGACATCAGAAACGAAGAAAAACAAAATAATGACTATTGTAACGCTTGACGTAAAGCAAGTCAAATTTGTAGTTTTCTTATGTCTCATTAGAACTACAGAAACGCGACCCGATCTGGCAATCTTACATAGCGTGGTTATAGCAGATACAGGACCGCAAAGCGAATCCAGAAGTGCCTTTCACCCTGTTACGACTTAATGAACCACTGAAACGATTTTGGAAACATTATTTTAAGGTAAAAAATCTTACTTAGTGTTCCTTTAATCCTAGGTTGCTCCTTTATGCTTCTTTGGATAAAGTAATTGTACCTGGTAGGTTGCTGGTTTGATCCCACCATATATTTTCATTTACAAATGATTGACAATGAAAATAAATGGTGACTGGGAAGCTCCAAAAATGACCAAAAAAAAAGTAGTCCACATGTCTTGTATGCTATATTCTTATCGTATGCCATATTATATTTCAGACATGGAATAAAGTGCACACGTAATATGGACTACTTTTACTTTGCTTTTTTATGCAGGTTTTTTTATGCGGGTAACAAGTCAAAGAGTAATCAAGAGTCAAAACATGTTTGATATTTACGACGCAATTATCAAATTATCATAATGACACCACAAAATTGAGGATTTTTTTGGACAAAGTCGGTTGCGAGAAGACTCGAATCAGGCTACACTCCCCAGATCTTTGGGCGTTGTATCTTCAAGTGTGTGGCCAGCCTTAGTAACAGCACACCTCTTCTCAACAAGTTTTGAGGAATCGTGTCTCTAGCAAGCAGCAAAAAAACTAATCTGTTGACTGAAACAGAGACAATGCAGAGATTAAACTCTAGTTTAACACAGGAGTTAAAAGTCATGACCTGGGATTTGTCCTTCGCAGATAATAACTGTGGACAGACTGCAGCTGCATTGCTGTAGGCAGCCATTAAGACACATCTGGCTCATGCTTGGACACTAACTACTCTCAGCCTTGATAAAGAACCCAGAGGTTTTGCCTAACCAAACAGACATTTATCACCAACTCAACGAAAGAAATTCTGGGAAACGTCTCATAGAGTTTTTGTCAAAATCAACTTTGATTTTCCATTCACTTAAGGTGTTTGGCTGCTCAAGCAATCGTGGTTAAACTTTACAACAGTTTTCTGAAATACCAGAGATTCACACCCTCAAGCAATTTGTGGGTCTATAAATGCCTGGGAAGCAACCAATGAAAATGCTAGAATGAGTGGGCACACGTGACCTAGATGAATGTAAAAACTTTAAGTTGTTCCAATCACCTTCTTTGGTTGTTCCATCAATCTGCATCTGAGGTCCAACACCTGATGGGAATTCGGCTGCCACAGAGACACGGTATGTCGTAACTGGGTAAAGTTGCTGCAGAACGATGGTGGTCTCGGGGCCAACTGTTGCAGTTTCTAGCAACCCACTATCCCCTTGGACTGGAACATACGTGAGTCTATACCGCACTACTGGACCAGGAGCCGCCCCCCATGAGACACGGAAACTGCTTGTGGTCTCCTCGGACACCCTCAGGTTGTTCACGGATCCTTGTTCTGCACAAATCGGTACATAGAATTTACAAAAAGGTCAATGTTGGGACTCTTAAATGAAAAGTTTACCCTAAATATCATCAGGTACAATGGCCAGGATATTCTTTAAAAAACCTTTGTGTTGCACAAAAGAAAGACAATCAAAAAGAACAACATTCCTTTAAAAGCAATTAGCTAAGCTAACATTTATATATAACAGTCACTAACCTTCTAGTGTGGTCTCAAAGTCTGATAGAGGAAAGCTTTCTCCCTTCTGGTATTGAGCGTAAACCTTGACTTCATACTTTGTGACTGGAGTAAGGTGATGTAAGACGGCCGTAGTAGTTTCTCCCGGCACAGAGACGGAGATGTAGCCCACTTCTGTGTCAGCTTCAGGCTTGTATTGCACCAGATATGACTGCACATCCACGGCATCTGTTACCCAAGAAGCTCGGAAACTTCTGGAGGTCACCTCTGAGAAGGTCAGAGATCTGGGTGCAATCAGACCTAGAAGGGAGAGCAGAAATTAAATATATTTTAATATTTTAAATAGACGTGATAATTTAGTTCACATCCCAATTTAATACCAAAAAAGGTTACAGAACAACTACAGGCTCAGGCAGCACCTAATAGATTTTAAATTGGCCTGTTTCCGACACCAAACTATGTTATGACATTAGCGGACTTGAAATACAGCACACAACTAATATGTTTTGGTGCTTGTTTGTTTGTTTATTCTTTGAGCTTGACAGCTTTGCTTACTATTTTTATCGTTTGGAATTTAGCAGCTTGGACGTTCTGCTAAATAAGTTATTTTGTGATCCACAGAAAGAAAGAAAGAAAGAAAGAAAGAAAGAAAGAAAGAAAGAAAGAAAGAAAGAAAGAAAGAAAGAAAGAAAGAAAGAAAGAAAGAAAGAAAGAAAGAAAGAAAGAAAGAAAGAAAGAAAGAAAGAAAGAAAGAAAGAAAGAAAGTGAAAGTGAGTGAATGATGACAGAATTACAATTTTTGTGCCAACTAACCCTTTGAACTTTTGTACAGATTGGTACAAAACCAGAGTTCGAACCATATGGTTCTATGCAAGTCCAGACAGAGAGACCGACAAATTTAACAGCAGTTAGTGAAAAAATCAAACGATACTTACTTCTCTTCTTGATGTTCAGAAGCTCTTGCTCAATTCTGAGACAGATGGATTGGGTTAGCTCATTGGAAATCCTCTGGAAGGCATCAAAGTCATCTACGGTGTACACGTGGGTCTCCACTGGAGAATTAGCAATCGCCTCCAGCTCAGACCGGACAGCATCTTTCACGCCCACTGCGAAAATCTCTACATCCGTGTTCCTAAGCTTAGCCGCCGGGTCTTTGAAAGCATCCGAGGACTTTCCATCGGTGATCAGAATCGTAACACGAGGTACATTCGCTCGAGCACCTCTGGTTTGAATAAAAATCCTCTCTCTCACATACGTCATAGCTTTGCCGGTGTTCGTGGAGCCACCGCGGTAGGGGAACGTTCTCACGGCTTTGACCACAGCGCTCAGATCGTGGTGGGTGTTTAGGTAGAACTCAGTGTGTGGGTCTCTGCTGTACTGGACCAAGCTGATTTGAACTTTTTCTGACCCAATGTCAAAGGTGTTGACCAGGACTTCCAAGAAAGCTCGAACTTTAGCGAAGTTTGCAAGACCGATACTGTAGGAACCGTCGACCAGGAGAACAACGTCGGCTTGTACATCCACACCAAGAGAACATTCTAGAAGTAAAAAGAGCTTGCGGGTCAAACAACTATTTAATCATTGGATTACTGTGGATAGTTAAAGAGTGTGGACCTTTCCTCACCTAATGATACTTTTAAAGGCTGGGTTTTCTCCATCGCCATAACTGCCTCGCTAGGTGTCAGACCTTTGAGTGCAAACAAGCTGATTTCGTACTCTGTATCAGGGGACAAATCTCTCACATTCACAGAGGTCTGAGTTGGCCCAACGTACAGCTCTTGGCGTTTGCTCCCAGCCAACATGGGAACCATCTGCACCTTGTATCCATTCACTTCCCCTATAGATTCATCCCACGTCACCCGCATTGACTTGGATGCAACCTCTGTGACTTGCAAGTTTGAAGCTGGTTCAACAACTGCAAATAAACAAAAAGAGGAAAATGGGGTCATGTTTAATGCTCGGGGTTGTGTTTAATAAACCTGCTAAAGCAGATTTACAATTGTTATTGTTTGTTTACCTTCCTCGCCGCTAGCCAGCGAGTTGAGCTGGTCATCCACACTGGTGCACACCTGCGTGATTAGTGATTTCTCCACAGCTTTGATCATATCGAAGTTTGGCACAGTGTACACGTGTGTTCTGTAGGGCGTTGAAGACATTTGTTTCAACTCTTCCTCATCTGCTTCTTTGATCCCTGAATACAAATAATAAATTATAGCATTATTTCTCAAAATTCTTTTCAAGGATTTCTTCTGTGTGGATGGATTTCTTGAAAGCTGCCAAGTTCTGTGAAGAAGAAATCCAGACCGAGAAAGACACCAGTGATGAATGACCACATACCCAAAGTGAAGATTTCAACTCCAGCATTCTTCAACCTCTTGGCGTAACCCTCCACAGGGTCCTGAGATTTCCCATCTGTGATAACTACGGCTACTCTGGGGAATCCCTTACGAGCACCGGCGGTCTCTGTGAACATGTTTTTCAGCAGGTGGTCCAGGGCTTCGCCTGCACACACACACAAAAAAACAAAAACAATCACAGACTTGAAATTCACATTGTAGCTTTGTTGTTCAGCAGTGATATTATCTGTAGGTTTCAGTATGAATTCAAAAGTATAAATTTGGTACCTGTCATGGTGTTGCCACCCTTGTACGGCAGATTGTTAATGGCTCTGAGCAGCTCGGCCTGTTTGAAGTACTGGTTAAGGTTAAACTCGGTTCTGGTGTCCGTGCTGTACTGAACCACACCCACTCTAGTCTTGTCCTCTCCAAGGTCAAACGCGCCTGCCATGGCTGCTATGAAACTGCGGATGAATTTAAAATTTTCCCGCCCGACACTCCAAGAACCGTCCACCAGGAAGACCAGGTCAGCAATGGCACTTACTGAGCATTCTGGGAAAAAGAGTGAGAGGTCAATGAGTCAGAAGCTTGTTTAACTTCAGATAAGGGCATGAATTTTTGAAAAGGATGCAAAGCTTCTAAAATATAAACCATTCAAGAGGTTTGGCAAACACATTTGGCACTTAACTCAAAATTCTGACCTATTTTTCCATTTAAGAAAAAGACCAAATCTTTTAGTATTATAAAACCCTGTGATTTCATTTGCATGGTAAGATTATAAATCTCACATATTTTTTTTTTTAACTTTAGATAGACGCTGCTACAAAATAAACCCTTTTACAAATGTACAACTTTAGAGATTCCTTAGAGGTTCAAATAATATTGAATTAATAGAATATATATGTTGATGAATGAGTTTAAGTATGTTTAACATAATTCTTAATTCTTACTTTACAGTTTAATTCACCATTGTGACATTTTTCACATATTTTTCTCTTTTGTTTACATACTTTTTTTCTCCATCATTTAACGATAAATGAGAGTAATGCACATTGGTCACCTGCAACAGCAACTTCGCAAAGATTATGACAATTTCAGAGGTTTCTGTAGATTTGGATGTCTCAAATGTTGTAAATATGCAAAAAGGTTTATGTGTTAGTTAATACTTTATGCTTCAGCGTCTATCAAAATATAGAAAATGTACACGTACAAATACAAAGGGGATACCCTTTATAACAGCACCACATTTATCTATTATGCAATACACACCGGTTACAACTCATTCCCCATTGACACATGGGTTGAGTATGTCTCTATACGAAATCCTATTAGGCGAGTCATTACTAGTCATTCCCTCTCTGTTGAACTCCATTAATCTTAATCCTCTATACGGTTTGGAAAAATTCCTCATCTTTCAATCATATTTGCCCTCTATCCCGATTTGTGGAATTTGCTGCCCTTGAAGGGATTGTGTCGGCTTCATCTTTGGTGAGATGTTGGCAGATGGGTAAAGAACAGGATTTTGTTGACATATCGTAGCTTGCCTTCCTTTATTACCGTAATTAGATTTAAAAAAATCACTTGCGCCTGCAGAAGGGAAGCACTGGAGCATTGAAACTGGGTTTTGTTAGCGAGTCGTCTGCAGAAGGCAGCTAACTAACCGTTATGGTATTCGGGTGGGGTGTGAGGGGGGGGTGTTTGGATTTTCCACTTCTACTTAATGTAGGAAAGGAAAAGTAAAGCTGTTCACCTTCATCTGGAGGACGAGGCCACAGCGCTCTTGTAAAGAGAGAGGCTGTAATGCTTTCCACTTTCTGTATTGCGAGAGGTTCAGGTTTTTATTTCAAACAAGGCGAAAGGGGCCACTTACGAACTCTCACCCAAAAGCCATGCTGGAAACGTTGGCTCGAATTGATCATGTCTGGAAAAGTTAATGCTGACTAACAAGCTAAATTGTTATCAGGAATCATAAATTCGGAAAGAAAGAATGGCATACACACATTTGCGTACTGACTAGTATGGAAACTCCCAATAAAATGTAGAGACCACAGAAGCAATGGAAAGAGCCTGGAGGTGTGTACTTACTGACTGAATTTGAGACCTGAGGTTTCCTGGGACCTCCTCCAATACTGCTTGATTGGACTAAAACAGAAAACAATACATCAATAAATATTAAGGCAAAAGTATTCCTTCCATTAAAAGGGTTCCCATACCCTTTGGCCAATCAATTTCAATGCTTTCTCCACTCTGTTTTATAGAGATTGCAATCACAAAAAGCCATTTCTAGTCAATTAAATATCAATTTTAGAGTGTACTGTACAGAGTGTAACAGAATTTTTGTATTTCAAATCAACAATTTTAAATTAGTTAAAAATTCCCTCAAACTTCCAGGCTTACATGACCATGGGATCCCTAAATGGCATATTTAAAGAATAAGATGCCCTGCCACTTACTTGTAATCTGACCAGAGATTGGTATACTCTCCTCAGATCCAAAATATGAAGTTATCGTAACAACATAATCCACATCGGGGGTCAAATCTCTGATGGAGGTTTTGGTTGAGGTTGGAGGAAGTGTGAATTCCTTAACAGGCTCTTCTACAGGCAGAAGGGAACATTGCATCTTCAATGTTTAAATGTCATATCATGATATACATTCTACATGAAGATAATACCTAGCCACCCTTCATTTATAAGTAGATAAATCTAGTCTAGACACACAAGACCTAGATTAGGGAAACATTAATGACTTCCCAAGACAAGCGATGAGTAACGGTCCATGTTTAAATAATTTTTTGAAGGGCACGCCAGAACGCATTTCCCAAGAGTTGCCTGTGGCAGTGAGTTTAAAGGTTACTTGTCATTTACCAGATGCTTTCTTATCTCAAGCAACATAAGGTACACTTACTACGGTTCCCCATGAGTAACCGTAGGTTAAGTGCTTCTCTCATGGGCTCAGTGGCAGTAGATCAAAAAAACAACCCTTGCATGTCTGAATAACACTTAATGTTAGCCGACATGAGTTTTCTTTCATACTACAAAATTTCTGGTATGGAGTGCCAACTTATTCAGAATCCAGTCAATTGGCAATTGATAAAAATGAGTTCTGTCACTTCTTTTTCCTTGTTGAATATCAATTTCCAGTCCGAAACACGTCACTGACATAAAACCTAGCAATTGTTTTATGTTGCTTGCCGTTATAATTCCAAAACGTTTGGTGCTTTCACCGTTTCACCAACCTGTATCCGATGTCACTTGTACTCTGAAGCCCTCGGTCCTTGACAGCGGATGCTTCCATATCATTTGCACTGTGTTTTCATTTAAAATCTTAAACCTCAAGTCTGATGGAGGCATTACTGTGGAAAGAGGAGGTGAATCAAGTTATTTCCAAGAAACCATTCCAAAAGCTGTATTTATGAGAAGAGCATACAGGTTTATGGACGAAATCCCAACAGTGAAGTTCATTGTTGGGCAAGGACTCAAGGCAACATGAAACAAACGTGGACGGCGGCCATTTTGGGTAAAAATGACATCTGTTTGAGCTGTCTGACCGTAGGGCCATTGACTACTCAAGCATAGACACGTAAAGCGCGTTCCACAAAGACCTCGACAGAACATTACATCAGGCCATAACTTGTGACGTGCATGCAGTCAATCCAGTCAACCCAACACAGCCAGAAGAGCTGTGTTGAACTGTGTCAATAGTTGACGTCACAGATAGACAAGAAATGGTGATTGTACAATGGACTTGAAAGTTGACAATAATGGGTAACATTTTATGTGCAACTGCATTAATGTGATCACTTTCCATTGCAAACCGCTTAAAAGGGTGACAACCTTTAATAAGAAAATACAGGATAGTGACAAACAAGTGAATATATAAACGAAAAGAGGTTACGTAACATTGCACCAGTCTAGATGAACTAGAAGACTCATGCACTTGTACATGAAAAGTTGTCTGCAACAACTTGGGGACTAAAAGGATTTCATGTACAAGACGCACACGTAGAGGACTTTGAAATATTTTAAAGTGATATTCTTATGGTATTTTGTGTTGTATTGTGTTTGAAAAGTCAGTGTCTGTGTGGAACATAGAGTTTGTGTGTGCATCTCAGAATATCACAATAAAATATTTTGTGAAGCTGCGGCTCTGGTCAAATTTTGACCAGGGCTTAAGCTTGACCGGGAACAGGTTCGCCAAAATCAAGATTTACCAACCTGGCTGACCAGATGTCACAATCGGTTCCATTTCTGACTCCAAAAGGGTCCAACACAACCGCTAACTCACACCGATTCATCACCCATTCTAGATTTGTTCTTTCTTTTTTTGGGTCCACACAACCCAAACCAGTTTTGGTGCAAAAAAACTTCGAAGATCATTTAACAACATTTATTTTGCTATGCTAACCATTTCATATAAGAAAGTGATAACGTTGGTTAAGGTATTTGTTTGTATTTTATATCAGTGGAACATGTTTAAACTAAGAATTGTCTTATTTTACATACTACAGCATTGAGAAGTAACACACTCTTTCCTTAGAAAAAAAAAATAAAGCTCATATTTTGTCTTTTTGTTCTCTAAGAGTGCGGAAAGTGGGGAAGGGAAACTTGGCCTCCACATGTTTATTTGTACAATAAAAAATGTAAAATGTTCCACTATACTTTCCACTGAACTCTGGCAATGTGCGCTTTAACACCCTGTCGTTTATTCAATGATTTGATAGGGTTAAGTCACAGTTTTAATACCTCTAAGACTGTTCAAACCTACAAAGAGCTCGGTTACTGAAAGATATACTGTAAATACTTAAATAAATGAAAAAGTGTTTTACTAGAGAAATAAAAGTTGAACGTGAATCTGTCTGACTGAGATATCTGGTATCCAGCAAATGATCGTGGGTCTTAAGTTGCATATGGAAAATATTTAAAACCAAGTCATATTCAATACTAAACATTTGCTGGATTGGCCTTACATGTTCTATCCTATAATTTGCAATTGAAATATATTACAGTTGATACTCTTGAAGAAGTTGCTGAAAAACACAGTTAGATCAAATGAAATATCCTGTCCTGTCATGCATTTCTATTTCAACTAGCATTAAAACCGCAAATTGTTTAAAACAAATCTTATAGGAGAGTAAAACTCCTCGATCTAGTGTCTAAAAAGAGACACAACACTTAGAAATGCACATCTACATTAGCAGAAACTATTTTTCTTCTCTATTTTTGGAGATTGAATGTAAATTGAAAAATATTGAACACACTTATATAGAGACAAACGTTATAGTACAGTTATTATTTATATATTTTTTAGAAACAATAGACTATGATATAAACTGTTGGAATAAAGTATTTTTAATTTAACAGGGTGAATGGGGACAGATTTGATGGCTTTTTTACCTTGAGCTCTCACTGATGTCAGTACTGTGAGTGTTAAGAGAGCGGCCGCTGCCAAACGCCTGACCGACATCTTCACCCCAGTATCAGCAGAACATCAATCAATCTGAAAAATCAACCATATTACACACACATAGGCTGCTCATAAATCAATCCAGAAATAAAAAGTAAGAGAGTATGCACTGGACTCCAGCACAACTCACTGCAAGAGATCTCATTCAAATCTGATTTTAATTATTTCTTCATTCAAAATTCCAGCTGTTTCTTTGGTCAGAAAAAAAAAAAAATCTTTCCATGGTTAATACTCCAAAACTTTTTGGAAAATATTTATAAAACAAGGTCACTTTATTAAAATAACTCACTGTGGGCCTTAGAAAAACATTCTCTGTCTACATCAGTTTAACTGTAAAGCGATTATAAACTGCATATGTTGTATGTCATTGCAAACCCCACTGATTCATCCGTTTAACGTCGGAAACTGTGAGTTCATAGACTATATGCTATTGTCTGGAAATTTGCCTGATTTTGGATCCCGCACATCAGGGGTTGAAAAACTTTTCTGCAGGGTTCCTGCGCCCCCTGTTGTGCCTGGACAAATTCAGATTTCACATCCATATATTTATGATGCTCTGTCTCTAAACTTTGGCAATGTGCTTGATGTCTGTGTTAGACATATTGCATGTCGCTATAAATAATTACCAACGCAAGAACAAGCAGCTCACAAAATATTTGCACATTGAGTTCAAGTTGTTCATTAATATCACTCAGCAATCAGTATTTGCCCTGACATTTCAAGCAGTGTCCTGCATTCTGGCATGATTACTCAATCTAAAACTATTTCAAACAACGGTTTTCCAGTCCTTTTATACATTATACATGACCTCATATTAATTACGACTACATTTGGACTTTAGAAAAGGCATTCATCACATGGCAAGACTTTCTGAAATCAACTAGGGCAAAAGTTTATTTCAATTAATGAAGGGAAAAAAAAACTTGAAGAAAATACACTTGGTCACGTGCAGCATTTTAATTAAAAAATTACAGCTTTTTTAATAGGATAGATGAATCTACATGCAAAGTGTGAGTCAAAACTAGCATGCAGGCACACGTTGTCTTGAGTTTGGTGTTGTAATAGTGTAAGAATTTAGGTAAAGTTGAATGAAAAAGCAATTATAAGGCTAAACCAGTCTTAAAAACCTCTCATATACGGTGAAAACATGCTTTCTGAACATTTATTAAGAAAAACAGTTTTGAACCTCACTCTAAATCTTTTAATTATATTTATCTAAGCTCTTCTACCTGTATTCTTTAAGCACAGTGCATGTGAAGTAGGTAAATAAACATAAAAATGCCCCAATAAATGAAGTCTTATGAGTCTTAAGTTATCTAGATTTCTCAACTAAAGAAAATAGATAAGTATCATCCCAAACAACTTTAAAAGAGCACAATAGCAGGGTGGTGGAAAAAATGAAATCACCATTCAAACGTCTATGGAAAAAGTGATCAGAGCAGCTGAAAATGGGTCAGTGTGCACACATTCATCACTTCATATTACATTTAATTCGTCTCACATTTAAGATCAATAACACCTTCCTCCATATAAGTTTAAATAGGTTTATCAATAAAAGAAGAAACTCCACATGAGCACTTACCAAACTCCCCAAAGTTTCCAAAATCTCTCAATACATCACAAAACTGTTGAATGAAAGAGGAAGTTTCGCCCGGATGCAAAGGGATTTAAAGGTCTTTTCAGAAAGGCAAGAGATTCTCCGTGATGCTGTGGTGATGGAGATGAAAATGAAGAGGAGGATCTGATCACCCACAGCTCGTGAAGGCTGTTTTCAAATGCACCGGATCTCAGACTAGAATGTGCTTCTAAACAGGGGGCTGATCCCAATCCCGAACCCGAAGCTCTGACGTCACCGTGTGATGGATGGATGTGTTGGGATGCGCTTTTGGAAACTCGCGCTTATTTTCGGCATTCCTGCAGCATGTCACTTATTATCTATGTTTTTGGTTTCAGCAGGAATTAATATGAAATAGCCTAGGCTACATTAGGCTACCACGGACGAGATTAAATAGGAATCGCACTTTTATCATTTATTTTGATAGCCTATATTCAGGATTATATAGCTTTTGTTTTTAACTCAATTCCAAAGTTAAGTAACTATTAAAGTAATTAGAATGTGGTTTTCAGAAGGGCGAACATTTTAAATAAATATACCTCGGTCATTTTCTGTAGGCCTACAATCTGAGGAGATTTCGCGCCACTAAAAAAAACGAAAAAAATGATTTATGGTGCTCCCAGCACAGTTGAATCAGCCGACAACTATAGTAAAACATCACGAAGCGTTTTTACATACAATGTCGTGCAATATGTAGTACGCTAAACATAAAATATCGTAATAATGACAATATCGATACTGTTTCTGACGTAGGCTATCGTTCAACGGTCCTAACGGCAGGCGCTTGAGTGGTTGCTTTGGTAACATCATCTTCACGCCAACACAACTACTTTTTTGCTAGTTGTGCAATATTTTGACTCGTCTTGCAATCAAACTTTTATTGTTGTTACTTAGCAGCTACTTATTAAGTATTATTTTTCTCTCTCTCTCTCTGTGATATTAAACCCCTGCTGGAAAATCAAGCTTATATGCTAGGCTAGTAGCTTTTTTTAGGAACATGTTTCAGTAGTTCAGGACCTGCTAATAACCAGCTAGATCCGGTCAAATTCATCTACCGCGTCCAAAACACAGATATCAAGATTAAAGCAATTGTGCCCAGCAATATCAGAAAAACTGTAAAAACGGTTAAACAACCAAATAAAATGGTAAACTGTACTTATGACTGAGTTAACTTGAGCCTATAGATCAGTTTTACAACCATGCATTTCCATTTATTTGAATATGAAGCCCCCTAGTGGTCGAATCGGGTAACACACAGAGGGGATCACATCTTATGAATCAAAACTACCCCCGATCTCATTATCAAGCCATAAATGAAGAGTTCTGTTACCCATCTGAGGAATAAACATTTAGACATTTAAAACACATGGGTGCCTGCCAACTGGGAGTCCGGGTAGAGTTTGGTTTGTGATCATTGAGTCTATTAGTTGTTTCAGCTGAGATCAGGACTGTTTTTAATTTGATCATTAGCTCATTACTCTCAATGTTCGAGAGAAATGCATTATAGTTCTATTGATCAAGGGAAAGCTTGAACTTCTACTGCTCCTTATAGATGGCTTGCAGAATTAATGATCTGTACTTTAAAAGTTTTATAATTAGCATGCAATTATTTTAGCTACGTCTGTTTCAATCTCTGCAATGAACTGAGAGATTTTGTATGGGACACAAAGAGCACATTGTTCGTAATGCATGTGATAAATTTCCATATGAGCTCAACTGTATAGACCACCAATGCTGAGCTCAAATGATCAGATGTTCCTGTAAATTTGAACTTCCAGAGGGGAAAACAGTTCTTTGATGTACAGGCATTTGGAAACTATTTTATATGCCTTGAAAACGCATTGTTTTGAAGAACAAAAAGGAAATGCAGATTACTGTTTGTCTCCTAGGAAACGATGAAGACGTCCAAGAAACAGACCGTATCGAAACCATGCTTCTAAACGCTGCATTGTGAGTCACAAACATCCTGCATCAGTTAATGCTAACTTACATACTTTCGGAAAAACAGTTTATTTAGAGAAGAATATTTTCACATACATCTCAAAAGGAGGCATGAAATCAGAAGACAAACCTCATTAATAACTAGAATTTCACTGTAACACATCCTGCTGCTACAGATATTTGCACTAGTCATAATTGTCTCATAATTGTCAAATTGCGCACATTTTTTATTGCACATATTTATATTTATACTGTTTCTCTTTTACTTGTCTTCTGTTTTTATTCAGAGCCTTGCAACGAAATCTTGCTCAACTGTATAGTGAATGTACAGTTGAATGACAATAAAGTCTGTAAAAGATTATGAATCGCATGAAAACCAGCTTAAAAACATCTAAAGTCTGTAACATTACACCGCAAAATCATAAGAAAATAATGAAATTTTTCATAAAGAAAATGTGCAATGCAAAGTATGTGCAATGCAAGGCAAAAATATCTTAAAAGTAGTCCTAAAATCATTTTAATTTGGGTGCATTTAAATTGTCATTTAGTAAAGTAAAACAATCAAGATTTGTCCAGTTATGACAGACAGTTTGTTTTATTTAAATCACTTTGGTCCCGTTTACCTTCCAAATGAAAGAATAAGTATATGGTGTGAAATGCTCATAACGTCACATTTGAACAGAAATGAGGGCAGGAGCGGACATCAGTCCTTCTTCTGAGGCACAGCCTTTACTAGTTGATATATGACGCATGCAGTTCCTGAAAAGAGACACATGAATGATTAGTGATTAGAGTTTATGATTATTAACTCAAATACATGTCAAGCATCACGGCAAATTATGCGGTTTGAACGAATTTGAAATTGAATACAGACATTGGGAGTGGGTGCTTTAAGCTTGGGCTAGTAAGAAATCACCCAGAAGCCACACATAGGCCTGGTTTTACAGACAGGGCTTAGATTAAGCCAGGATTAGGCCTTAGTTCAATTAGGACATTGAAGTAGCTTTTATAAATGTGCCTTAGGCTCTGTTTACACGTGGTATTAAGAGACATTTTGGTCAATCGGACCACAAGTGGACGACACTAAATACAGGTGTAAACGGGGTCTAAACTGTTTTGAGCTTGTCCACTTCTGGATGTAGTCAGATTGCTTTCATAGTGTAAACACTCATGTGGTCAAACAGCCACAAAAGACAGTCTTCTCTCCTCTTACTGATCTAACGCGTGAACATTATGGGAAGAGCGCTAACCAGACGGGATTTTTGTGTCGACTGAAGACTCAAGTTTGGTTTGAAGATGAAAAACATACCAAGCTCAATGTTCTCTCTCCATTCCTGATGTCTAACACACACAGCGTTCGGCTGGTCTTGTGAATGTCAGAGAAACTAAAGCTGATGCTCTTTGTGTTCGGTTTTCTCAAGTTGCGTTCATATGTCCTGAGCTTATTTTGTCCATTAGATCGAAAGATCTGAAAAAAAAAAAAAAACCCGCAGTGAACACAGCCTTTAAGTAAATAAGTATTATGCATATATATCATTTGGTCTAATTCAATTATACATTAAATATATACAGTATATCGCTGTCAGGGGTCAGAAAAAGTGACAACCATACCTGAAACAGCTTCTGCTTTTCTGGCACTTTATTCAGCAGCTGCCTGTGAACGCTTCTGGAGATCTGCCATCTGGAAACCTGCTGAAGAGTCTCATGGAGATACATAAACAAATGTGAGTAACTTAAAGATGACAAATGTGATGCACATACAAATGTCATCAGAAACCATATTAAATATTGTAAGAAAGCCTGTCCTAGGAACCAAAGTTGTTTGCCACACGGACCGATTATAGTGGAATACACAGGAAGACGGTCTTGGAGAATGTTTATCTCTGCACCAGAGCCATATAGAGAGAGAATTGCGACAACGGAAGTTCTAAAAGCTTGGTTGTCACGTGATTCGTGTAGACCTCAGATAGTTCCAGGAAGAGCTTCGGCGCCAATTCAAATCGATGGAGGTAGAGAGCTGAACTGTGATTTTTGTTAGTTTGTAGTCAATAAATGCGTTGGTTTACAATATGTATATAATACATTGACATTTGGATGTAGTATGTGTATGTAGTTACAGCAATATTGTTTTTAAAAGATAAAAATCTGCTGATATTTAATGTTTATTGTGGTCAACCAGTGTTGCCTGCCTTTGTTAACATATTTTCTGGCTAACTTTACCTTGGTTAAAGACCGTTTTGCAGTTGTTTTGAAGTATTTTTGTGTTCTTAAACTTGAATGTTATTTAAGGGTTATCATGTAATGTTCACTATGGTTTCACAAGGACAGGTGACTTGCAGGAAACAGGTGAAGCCATTGCAAACAAGTAAAATGTAAAATTGCATTCATCGTAATGTTTACAATGCTTATGCACTTATTACTATATAAATGAATACATAATATATTTCATTTTAAAACAAAACATGATTATACACACACACACATACATTATTTCCTAAGTGTCCAAGTACATTATTTCCTTAACATAATTTGATAAATTCATGACATACATCACTTTAATCTATAAAACCTATTTAGTTTAAATTTATTTTTAGTACATTTAGATAATACATATTTTATGTTTTAACCCCCCCCAAAATGTCAGGTTGTGCAACTGTCCGCACAAATGAACAGACTAAAATACTAATTTAAATGGTGTTTTAAATGAAATTATATGGCATCATTTTAACCTTTCATATAAACAAATTTTATACGTTTCAGTAGATTTATAGCTGATAATTGAAAACCTTTTGTCTAGCAATTTGTATGTCAGGGGGGCACAACTGCAAACATGGCTCTCTTATTATGGTAATTGCAGTGTGCATGATAATGCATTGTCCAGAGGAGCCATAATGATCCTTGTAGATCTCTATCAAATACTGGTAAAAACTGCTTTCAAGTATGGGTAGGTTGGTACACTTTCAGGTGAATTTAAACACTTAGAAATGTTCACAGCTGAAACTTGTTCAAATACATTGTTCATGACACAAAAATTTACATTACATCAGTTTTGAAAAGATTTAAAAAAACATTTATTTGTTTATTTGTCAATGACCTATATATATATATATATATATACACACTTTTGCACTGAATTAGCACAATGGGATTTATAAATGTCTAATAAACTGCACGTCAAGCATGTTGTCTGGCATTTCCTCTATGTTGTTCTTGTACTGTCAGACACAGAA